CAAACATATTTCTTTAAGAAACCTAAGTATTTGTCATCTATCCAGGGTGTCACAGAGCCTCTGAGCAGCACTGCAGAACTTCAGACCACAATTACAAATTAAACCACTCAGGCTGATGAAGATCCTGCAATTGCAGGACACTGGAGCTAGGCTGTCCCTCAGGTCTTATTAAGACTAGTCCTGTAAAAAACCTCAGTGGGAACAAGTGAAATGCATGGGATTCCTTAAACCCGAGGGTCACAAAGCAGAGCTGTTCCCTTCCCAGAACCATTTCTGGTCTTTTTTATGTTGCTCCATTCAGCTGCTCCTTTGGTTTCCCTCACAACTTCATCGCCTCATTTTTTGCAGTAACACTACTGGGGTAAAAAAAGGAAACTCCAGAATTCTTACAATAGCAGTAGATGAAAAATAACATCCTTGTGTCATGGCAACAGAACAGCACGAATGAGGCTGTTCTGACCTTATCTGCCAGAGTTTCACATCTCCTAAACATTAGCAAGTCTTTAATCACACCCCTCACTCAGTTTTTCCACTGCTCTAACCCTGCCTTTCTCCTGGGACAGGGAGTACAAAGCAATTGCTTCAGTCTGCTGAACTGTTAAGCTAAGAGATCAGCAGGAAAACAATCCATAGGGCATCAGCAATTCCTGGCTGTGTGTGCTCTGCAGCTCCATTAACTCACTGTTCTGCTCTGCTAACACCAGGCAGGGTCACTACAGAGGCACAGGAGCTGAATCTCCTCAGTTTCCCAGGAATGAGACAGCTTCAAACTCTCATCTGTCAGAATTAATTTTATTTTCAGTCATGTTTAGCACCTGCAGTGCTGGGGAGAGCAGAGGCTGCACCTCTGGAGGTAAACTCAGGGAAAATGTCCTTTTCTCTGCCCAAAGCACAAGCTGTGGGAGGGATAACAACATTCTCTGCTGCTCTGTTCAGCACTCTTTAGCCAAGACTGATCTGCAATTTTCTCAGCATTTCAAGCCCCAGCCCTTGCACCCACCACACACAGGGGCAGATTCATGTCAGCAGGACAAGTGCCACAGATTTCCATGAATGATTTGTGTTCATTCAATGAGGCTCCAACACCAACAGCTTCCCTGCAACACCTCAGATACCCTTCTCTCATCATCCATACCCTCTATTTCAAAAAGAGCTGAATTCCAGCCTTTGCTAGCAAGCAAGAGACACGGATTAGATCATATTTTCAGGAGCTCAGCAGCACTTATTCCCTCAAAACATCACCTGCCAAATATGTGCAAGTGAGTTGATGCTTGGGGAAAGTTTCCTGAATGCATTGACAAAGAAAATCAGAGGCAGGCAAGAGCCCTCGAGCTGGATGTTGTGTTTGCTGTGACACAACTGACATATCTGCCCCAATATATCAGCAACCAGCTGAAGGGTGCACCCAAAAAAATCCAAAGGAAACACAGATGGAGAAACAGGGAGGCATTCCTGACACAGAACTCAGGTGGAGCCTCCCTGACTCCCAGGAGATCAGGGATGTGGCACTGCTCAGTGTGACACAGTCTGCTCTGAGAGGAGAGAAAAAGTATTACAGACATTGATTTAGTTTGTTTTCCTTCTAACCCGAAGAAGAGGTGTAACTCAGCCTGGGTTTACACAGAATGTGTGCTCAGACATGGAATTCTCTGAGATCCAGATTATTATTGTGCTGCATTGTACTGAACCCTTCAGACCAGGAGGACAGGACTCCCTCTCCAGTGAAGGCTTGACACCCACTCTCCCCAGAACTGTGTCAACAAACCCACACCATAAAGCAGCCCCTCCCCTCCATTCTGGGTAATTTATTAACACAGTTCAAGCCAAGCCAGTATTTTCAGCCCATGGCAGCATGAAAAGTTACATCAGCTCCCACCTGGCAGAGCCGTGTGTTTCATCAGAGGCCGGTGAGGGCTCAGGGCTGCAGCCAGCATGAGGTCATGCTCCCCCAGCTGTGGTTGGGAAAGGCTCTGTGGGGTGATGCAAACAGGTGCTGCATGGCCAGCTCTGGGGGAGGCTCCTGCACACACGATCTCTGAGAGAAACACGGCAGCCAGGGAGGAGCAGGGAGCGTGGATGGCTACATGTGGCTAACAGAGACCTGGTGGGCACCCAGCGCCACAAGGGGGGGATTTGGGAATCCTGTCATTAAAGATCACCTTCTTCTGCAGCCTTAGGGCTCCTTAACAAGCTTATTCCTTAAATCACTTGCACAGTGAACAGCAGTAAAGAGCTCTCTGGCCACCACAGCTGGGCAGGACTTCCAGCTGTGGCTGTCCTTGCTTGGGAACCACTTCAGGCAGTGCTGGAAGTGTGGGGAGAGCCCTGATACCTGGAGAGAGCTGCAGAGGACACCCAGGAGGGTTTGGGTAGCACAGAGCTGATACTCTGAGTTCCAAACCAGTGAACAGCAGTAAAGAGCTCTCTGGCCACCACAGCTGGGCAGGACTTCCAGCTGTGGCTGTCCTTGTTTGGGAACCACTTCAGGCAGTGCTGGAAGCGTGGGGAGAGCCCCGATACCTGGGGAGAGCAGCAGAGTCTCACAGGACACCCAGGAGGGTCTGGGTAGCAGCACTGGAGTGCAGACCTGACACTGAGCTCCAAACCCGCCTAGGGATCAGAAAGAACAGACACCCACAAACAGGACAGTCAGGGTGCAGCTCAGTCTTCAGCCTGCAGACAACAAACTGCTCAACACAGAGAAGGGAGAGTCTGCCGAGCAGGATGAGGATTTCGAAAGCAGCAAGGCAAACAGGAGGTGTTTGCAAGCGGCAAACAGGACAGCTGGAACACGGCCGGCTGTCCTGGCAGGGAGGGACACACGGGCTGTGCATGCTCGCACAGGAACGGCGCGATCCCCACACGGGGCTGCTCCTCCAGCACGGCCACGAAAGGATTTTCCTCACGGCAGAGAGGAAAGCGCTTTGGCCAAAACCCCCAGAGGATAAAAAAAAATGCATAAAGCCGGACCCTTTCCCATCTCCATGCCGTGACCACCGCACCCCGGAGCCGCCGCGGGGCATCAGCCCCCGCAAGGCCGGCAGCGAGCGGCTCCGTCCGCCCCGCACCGCCCCGCCCGCCGCCCTTGGCCCGCGCCGCCGCCACGTGCGCGTTGCCTGAGCGCCCGCCGCGCTGCCATTGGCCGCCGCCGGTGGGGTGCGGCCGCGCGGCCTTGTGGGAGTCGTAGTTCCGGCGCCATCGCCCCGCCCGCGGCGGGGACCGCGGCCGTGAACCCCCCGCCGCTGACGTCACGGGCCGCGATGACGTCAACAGGCCCACCGGGCAGCGGTACCGGGAACGGGGCTGGAACGGGGCACCCTTCCCGCCGAGAAACCTCCCACGGGCGCGCGGTACCCACGGGGCGGCGGCATTGCCGGAGCCCCGGTCACCGGGCTGGGCACAGAGCTGCCAGAGCCCTCACGGGCACCGGGCTGGGCACGGAGCGGACACAGCCCTCACGGGCACGGCGCTGCCAGTGGGGTGGGGTGGATATCCCGGTAAAACGGCTCCCGAGCGCTCAGTCCCCCCGCAGTCGGCCGCCCGGTTCCCCGGGGACGGGGCGTGCCGGCCCCGCCGCCCACTGCCGAGCGTCTCCCCACGCTGGCGTGACCCCCGGCCCGCCTCCCGCCCCGCGGGGCCGCGGCCAAGCCCGGGCAGCGCCAGCGGTGACGCTGGATGCCGCCGGTGCCGGGCGGGACACGCGCCCGGCCCGCAGGCATTGGCAGGAACGAACGAAGTGCTCCGAGCTCGGCGGAGAGGCGGGACCGGCCAAATAAAGGCAGGGCTCGGTGCTGACGGCAGTGAGCCAGCAGCGCTCGCCGTTCGCCCGGCGCGGATCGCGGTACCGGCGGCGGGCACCGAGCCTCCCTGCCCTACAGTACTCCCAAGTACCGAATAACCGGCTGCAGGGAGGTGTAACCGAGCGCTGCCCTCGTGCTGCCCCTGCGGAGCGCACGGCCGGGTCGGAGGAACCGGCTCTGCCCGCTGTTCGGTAGCCGCCGTGCACCGGCCGCGGAACAGAACCCCGCGGGCACGGAGCCGGGCGCTGAGGCACGGCCAGCACCGGGCCGGGTCAGGGCACAGCGAGCACCGGAGCGGGACCGGGGCTCCCCGCGCCACCGGCACCGCACGTGGGCACCGGCGGGGCGCGCGTCACTTCCGGGGCGGGGCGGCCCGCCGGAAGCGGGCGTTGCCCGGTGAGCGTTGCTTGGCAACGGCGGCGCGGCGCAGCCATGGCGGACGATGAGCTGCCCGTGGTCTCCTTCGGGAGCCTCATGACCGAGGGGACGAGCCTGAGCCGGCGCGGCCAGCACGACAAGGCCCTGGGCTGCTTCAATGACGTGAGGGCACCGGGATGCGCGCGGCGGGAGGGGCCTGGGGCGGCCGCGGCGGCGGGACCCGGCTCGGCTCACCTGGGCCCCGCTGCCGCCCCGCTCCGCTGCCGCTCCGGCCCCGCTGGCGCCGCCGCCGCCGCCTTTTGTTCGCGGAGCGCGGCCTCCCCGGCCCATCGGGCTACGGCCGCCGCCGCCGCCCATTGGCCCGCGCCGCCGCCACGTGCGCGTTGCCTGAGCGCCCGCCGCGCTGCCATTGGCCGCCGCCGGTGGGGTGCGGCCGCGCGGCCTTGTGGGAGTCGTAGTTCCGGCGCCATCGCCCCGCCCGCGGCGGGGACCGCGGCCGTGAACCCCCCGCCGCTGACGTCACGGGCCGCGATGACGTCAACAGGCCCACCGGGCAGCGGTGCCGGGAACGGGGCTCCCTCCCCGCCGAGAAACCTCCCACGGGCGCGCGGTACCCACGGGGCGGCGGCATTGCCGGAGCCCCGGTCACCGGGCTGGGCACAGAGCTGCCAGAGCCCTCACGGGCACCGGGCTGGGCACGGAGCGGACACAGCCCTCACGGGCACCGGGCTGGGCACGGAGCGGACACAGCCCTCACGGGCACCGGGCTGGGCACGGAGCTGCCAGAGCCCTCACGGGCACCGGGCCGGGCACGGAGCTGCCAGAGCCCTCACGGGCACCGGGCTGGGCACGGAGCGGACACAGCCCTCACGGGCACGGCGCTGCCAGTGGGGTGGGGTGGATATCCCGGTAAAACGGCTCCCGAGCGCTCAGTCCCCCCGCAGTCGGCCGCCCGGTTCCCCGGGGACGGGGCGTGCCGGCCCCGCCGCCCACTCCCGAGCGTCTCCCCACGCTGGCGTGACCCCCGGCCCGCCTCCCGCCCCGCGGGGCCGCGGCCAAGCCCGGGCAGCGCCCGCGGTGACGCTGGATGCCGCCGGTGCCGGGCGGGACACGCGCCCGGCCCGCAGGCATTGGCAGGAACGAACGAAGTGCTCCGAGCTCGGCGGAGAGGCGGGACCGGCCAAATAAAGGCAGGGCTCGGTGCTGACGGCAGTGAGCCAGCAGCGCTCGCCGTTCGCCCGGCGCGGATCGCGGTACCGGGGCCGGCGGCGGGCACCGAGCCTCCCTGCCCTACAGTACTCCCAAGTACCGAATAACCGGCTGCAGGGAGGTGTAACCGAGCGCTGCCCTCGTGCTGCCCCTGCGGAGCGCACGGCCGGGTCGGAGGAACCGGCTCTGCCCGCTGTTCGGTAGCCGCCGTGCACCGGCCGCGGAACAGAACCCCGCGGGCACGGAGCCGGGCGCTGAGGCACGGCCAGCACCGGGCCGGGTCAGGGCACAGCGAGCACCGGAGCGGGACCGGGGCTCCCCGCGCCACCGGCACCGCACGTGGGCACCGGCGGGGCGTCGCGTCACTTCCGGGGCGGGGCGGCCCGCCGGAAGCGGGCGTTGCCCGGTGAGCGTTGCTTGGCAACGGCGGCGCGGCGCAGCCATGGCGGACGATGAGCTGCCCGTGGTCTCCTTCGGGAGCCTCATGACCGAGGGGACGAGCCTGAGCCGGCGCGGCCAGCACGACAAGGCCCTGGGCTGCTTCAATGACGTGAGGGCACCGGGATGCGCGCGGCGGGAGGGGCCTGGGGCGGCCGCGGCGGCGGGACCCGGCTCGGGTCGGGCGGGGGCCCGCGGCAGGAGGGGGGACACGGAGGGACGTGTCCTCGAGAGTCTTCGGTGAAATCCTTGTACCGTCATCAAAATCCGCGTGGGAGCTGTGGCATCAAATACCCGCGCGTGTTGTTGGTCCGACGGGGGCTCCCGGATATTATATTATATTATATTATAACTATGTAATATATATTATATTATATTATATTAGTATATTAAAACTGTACTAAAATAATAGAAAATGATTTATCAGAAGTCTAGGAGGAACAGGAATGGAATGATTAACAAAGGGTTGTGACTCTCAGAGTCCGAGCCAGCTGACCATTAATTGGCCATTAATTAAAAACAACCAAATGCACCAATCCCAGCTGCACCTGTTGCATTCCACAGCAGCAGATAGTTAATTGTTTACATTTCTTTCTTGAGACTTCTCAGGAAAAATAGGAGAAAAATCCCAGCAGAGGATTTTTCCTAAAATATGGTGGCTACACGTGTGTGTTTGTGTCTGGTTGCAGGCTCTGAAGCTGCGGGCAGGAGACAAGCACTGCCTCATCACCCGCTCCAGGTGTTTCCTGAGGCTTGGAGACACAGAGAACTCCCTGAAGGACGCTGAAGCCTCGCTCCAAATTGACAGTACGTTCTATGAGGTGAGCAGCTGAGGGGGCACGAGGGAGCTGTGACACCCTGCAGGGGCTGGGCACAGCTGTGAGGAGACTCCAAACCCTGCTGAGATCTCTGCTGCCCTCAGAGCCGTTGGGCTGCTCAGGCACCTCCAGCTCTGGGGTTTTATGTGTGCAAGTTGTTACAGCCCTGGGCTCTGACAGGAGTTACTTGAGATCCATTAAAGTTTTCCCTAATTTTATGAATTTCTTCCCCCAAATGTTGTTTTTAGGGGCTTTACCAGAAAGCAGAGGCCCTGTATGCCATGGGGGACTTTGAGTTTGCACTGATGACAGGAATTCCTTAAGATCCATACAAATTTCCCTCATTTTATGAATTTCTTCCCCCAAATGTTGTTTTTAGGGCCTTTACCAGAAAGCAGAGGCCCTGTACGCCATGGGTGACATTGAATTTGCACTGGTGACAGGATTTACTTGAGATCCATTAAAGTTTTCCCTCATTTTATCAATTTCTTACCCCAAATGTCATTTTAGGGGCTTTACCAGAAAGCAGAGGCCCTGTACGCCATGGGTGACATTGAATTTGCACTGGTGACAGGATTTACTTGAGATCCATTAAAGTTTTCCCTCATTTTATCAATTTCTTCCCCCAAATGTCATTTTAGGGGCTTTACCAGAAAGCAGCGGCCCTGTACGCCATGGGGGACTTTGAGTTTGCACTGGTGTTTTACCACCGAGGCCGAAGGCTCCGCCCTGACCTGCACAAGTTCCAGCTGGGCATCAACAAGGCTGAGGAGGCCATTATCAACTGCATTGGGAGTAAGAAGTGTCCCTGGGCCCCCATGAGCCTGGACAAGGCTTCTCAGGGCACAGCTGGTGGCAAATCAGCTCTGCAGGTGACCCAAGAGCCCCACAGCAGAGCCTCTCTGCTTCTGGGTTCTTGTTCTTTGTGGCAGATAAATCCAGAAGCAGCACAGAGAGCCAACCCTGCTCTTTTCTTCTTTTTGTCCTTTCTTTCTCCCCTGAATGCTGTTCATACACAGTGCCTGATCCTTTAGTTCTGTAGGTGAATCCTGATGCTCCATTTTCCAAAATCATCATCATGGAAACTTTCCAGAGGATACAGACCAGAGCAGCTCATCTAATCCATGAGCTGCTTGTGGCCTCCCACATGAGGGGAGCTGACAAGGAAGTTGGAAACACTTTTTACAAAGGCCTGGAGTGCCAGGACAAGGGAATGGCTTCCCACTGCCAGAGGGCAGGGTTGGATGGGATATTGGGGAGAAATTCTTCCCTGTGAGGGTGGAGAGGCCCTGGCACAGGTTGCCCAGAGAAGCTTTGGCTGCCCCACCCCTGGAGGTGTCCAAGGCCAGGGTGGATGAGGCTTGGAGCAGCCTGGGGTAGTGGAAGGTGTCCCTGCCCATGGGAGGTGCAATTCCAGGGGATGGAATGAGCTCTGAAGTCCCTTCCAATCCAAACCATTGTGGGATTCCATGATTCTATGATCTACCTCCAGCACTAATGACAGAACCCATTCTGAGACCTTTATCCCTGTATTCAAAGCTTGGAGTGCAATGTGCCATGCCACCTCAGACTGGCCTCCTGAAATCCTGACTCTCCTCCAAATTTCATTGCAAAAGAGCAGTGAAACTGTTGACTCTTGTGACGAGCTCTGCTTTCACCATGCCTGGCTCAGATCACTGAGCAGGTCCTGCAGAGACAGGAAAGGCCAAGGACCTCGTGGGGTTTAAAACAAACAGAGAACTCATCCCTTTTCACTTAGTTTTTCTCTCAGCCCTGCCAGCAGGCGTGGACAGGACGTGTCCCAGTGTGGGGCACAGACACGCCTCACCTGGGGCTGCCTCCTGTGCCATGTGAGTGCAACACGTGTGCAGGGCTCCTCTGGGGCTGCCAAACCTGTGGGGTGGGTTGGAGCCTGCCCAGCTCCTGGCACGCCCCACTCACACCCCACACACATTCCCAGCTAGGCCAGGGCCTCCCTCTGCCAAAATTTCATAACTTCAGCCCTCCCCCAGTGCCAGGGTCTGACAGGTGCCAGTGGCACCAGAGCCTGCAGCGCTTTCAGATGGGATAGGTGTTGAAAAAAACAGGGAAGGTTTCCAGATCTGGCTTGCTCTGCTCCATTCCTGCTGCTTCCTGAGCTTAGCACAGTGCTCAGATGTCATCACAGCTCCAGGTGAAATCTTCCCAGCTCAATATCCTGAGCCAAGAATCACCTTTGGACCCCCTGGGCTGCAGGCTGAAAAACTAATTTAAAAAATAAAAAACTGATATTTACCTAAACATAACTAAACTAGTATAACTACTACTTAACTGATATACAACTAAAAATATTCTCAATCAGTCAATAGCTGTGAGCTGCAGGGAAGCATGGAAACACGTGGATGTTTGAACAGTTGGGAAATGCTCACACATGAGCAGGGCACATCCCACGCTGCTTCCCTGGCTGTGCTTCCCCTGGATGGATGGGAACACCTGCCCCTGTGACCCCCCGTGTTTGTGCTGCTGGTCTGGGCCCTGGGGCTGCTGAAGGGAATTCTGCAGCAGCCTTGGCAGCTCTGTCCTTCCCTCAGACCAAAGAGCTGTTCCTCACTCTTCCTTCCCAGGGTGCAGACAGATGGTGTAAAACACAATGGGCCTTTTGCCCTAATCAGTGCACAAACCTTTAAAATACCTTTCCTTCCATTTTGTGCTCCAGCTGTGATCCCCCAGAGGAACCTGCATCCTTCTCCTTCAGTTTCCATGCAGGATGTGCCCTGTCTGTAGGAATATTGCAACAGTGAATGCAATATTCACCCCTGGTGCCGTGTGAATTGAAATCCCAAGAGGAGCTGGTGGCATTCCCTGCTCCCAGAACACACCAACACCCCCTATTCCATGGGAAGGGATGAGAAAAGTGGTTGAAACTGAACATTTTGGGCTTGGCACCTTTATGGGCAATTCAGTGACAGCCCCCTGTGCAGCACTAACACAGCTCCTCTGTCTGCAGATCCATCCTCGGTGAAGCTGGAGAGCAAGGAGGAGCTGTGCTTTGTGAGCAGGCAGGCAGAGGTACAGCACAGGGCTCTGGCTGGAGAAGCTTCTGGAGTTGTTTTAATGCTGAAATGGGCACCAGAGGAGTGACAGTCCCCTCAGGGATGTGGCTGTGGGAGCAGTGGGGCTGCTGGAGGGCCTCTGGGGCATTAAAACACACTGGCCTGCCATGAGGGTGTTTGTCACCTGCTTCTAATGCAGGTCTGGCTCAAGCCACCCAGAATTTAAAGGGGAAGGCAGAAGGGCAGGAAGAGCCACCATGCAGGAGCAAAACCTGGAATTTCTCCTCCAGCCCATGTCTGGGGGTGTTGCCAGCCACCCATCTAATGAGTAACAGCCCAGGGGTCAAAGAGGGCACAGCGAGCTCCAATATTGACTTTGGGTTTACCTGATGTTTAAGGGTCACAGTTTTGATGATGGACACTTTCTTTATTGCTTCACTTTTGGGTGCTCCATTGCAGTAGTGTTGCTCCTCTGAGAGGCCAGAGCTAGTTCTTACCCTTTCTGTAACACCCTTGTGGTCCCCAGGGAGCACAGTTGGCTGCAGAATTTCAGTTGCTCATGGTCAAAGCAGCTGGTGAGACACTTTTTGCTTTTATTTAAAAAATAACTTGTGTTATATGGAGTATAAACAGAATTCTGCTCATTCCAGTGTTCCCCACTGATGTCCCTCGCCTCCTTTTGTTTTTTTTCTAGCTGCAGAGCAAAAATAACAAGCAGAAACAGCAAAACAAACCAAAGGACCAAAAGGATCAAAAACAGACGAAGAAGCAGAGTCCAAAAACAGAGCAAGAGCTTCTGGGACAGCTTTATGCTGACAAGGCATATCTGGAGAAGTTGCTCAAGGATGAAGGTGTTTCTCCTTCTCAGCAGATTCTATTTTTCTGTCATCCCTTTTTTTTTTATTCTTCTTTATTTCTTTTCTTCTTTTAAATCCCTGTGACTTAGTTAGTTATACCAGAGCTCACAGTGGTGGGGAGACAGGCAGGTGTCTGCTCTTGGAGCTGTGACTCCTCTGTGGGTTTGTTATAAATGCTGTTAAGGTCAAGATGCAGGAATTGGAGAAGTATCTTATTTTAGAAAAAGGCACAATGATGATGCTCCTTTAGTCATATTTCTAGGGAACTTTTCAACCAGAAATAGAGAAGTGATTAAGGTTTGGTTTGCTCACAGGTTTTACAGTGTTGCCAGCACTAATTACACACGTGGGCAGTCTGGTTTGCAGGCAGGTGAAAGCCCTCTCAGTTTCCATCTGCCTGATCCACAGCACTGTTCCAAGTGCCCTGTCCATACAGATGTGCCATACAGATGTTCTGTCCCAGAGCACAGGTGCTCAGCACAGCTGGCCCCACTTACTGGGCCCCTTTTTGGCTCTGATCAGCAGAGAAGGCAGCAGATACAAGGCTGGAACAGCAGCCCAGCTCACTGAACCACATGGGTAGCAGGGTTTATTGTAGTTGTGGGGTGCCCTGATGAAGGAAGGAATGATGAATCTGACTCTATGTTCCCAGAAGGCTAATTTATTACTTTATTGTATTACATTAAAGAATACTATACTATACTAAAGAATACAGAAAGGATACTTATAGAGTGCTATAAAGATAATAATGAACACTCGTGACTCTCTCCAGAGTCCTGACACAGCTTGGCACTGATTGGCCAAAGAGTGAAAACAACTCACACCAGAGACTAATGAAACAATCACCTGTGGGTAAACAATCTCCAAACACATTCCAGACAAGCAAAACACAGGAGAATTAAATGAGATAATAATACTTTCCCTTTTTCTCTGGGGGCTTCTCAGCTTCCCAGGAGAAAAATCCTGGGTGAAGGGATTTTTCAGAAAATGTGAATGCCACAGAGTTTATTGTTAGCTCCCCCATCACCTCAGCTCTGAGGAGCACGGGACACTTCCATGTCCAGGACTGTGTGTCAGAACAGAAAAATCAATTCCCCACTGAGCTGCAGCTCAGGTCTGCTGATTCTCACCTGGCTTCTACCTTATCTTATCCCCAGACTTGATGCAGAGCAGCACAAGGCAGGGGGTCAAAGTGATGGACCTGGTTTTGGGCGGCATCTCGTACCTGCAGCAGCGGCGGGACTTCTGGCAGCAGCAGCGGCCGATGTACGCGCGGCTGCACGAGCGCCGGGCCCTGCGGCAGCGCCGCGCGCGCGACAGCAAGCAGAAACCATCCGACATCGCCAGGGCCATCGCAAAGGACGTGGAGGACATCCAGCTCAGTAGGTGCCTGGCTGGAAGACGAGGGCCTGCCGCTGGTGTGGGGAGCTCTGTTCCTGAGGTTTGGCTCGGGGTTAGCCGCTTCGCCAGGTCTCAATTCCTGAGTAACAGAATCCCAAGGTGGTTTGGGTTGGAAGGGATCTTGAAGTTCATCCCGTTCCATCCTCCCCACCATGGGCAGGGACACCTTCCACTATCCCATGTTGCTCCAAGCCCCATCCAGCCTGGTCTGGAACACCTCCAGGGATGGGGGATTCACAGCTTCTCCATGTCTGTGTCACACCCCAGTGTCCAACTCTGCTCCCTGTCCCCAGTGCTGGCCAGAGGTTCTGCTGAGGAAAGCTGCAGGAAAGCTGAGCGTCTGCTGAAAAAGATACAAGCGTGGTCAGAGGATGAAGTTCCCAACAAGAACGAACTGATTGGGAACCTCCACAGCTGCATTGGGGATGCACAGCTGGCAATGGGGCAGATGGAGGCAGCTTTGCACAGCCATAAAATGGATCTGGATTGTGCCAGGCAGAAGTAAGTTCTGGGAAGTTCAGGTGGGTGGAGAAAGGGGAAAATGCCTCTGTGGGAGTGTTTTAGCATTAGGTAAAGTAATTCTCACCTGGGAAGTTTAACAGGGTTACACATTCAGCTGTGCACAAGTATTAGGGTCTGTGGTGACTTTTTATCTTCACTATTTCAAAATAAGGAACCTGAAGCAGATTTTTAAGGACCCACAGCACAGGGCACATCAAAACCTCTTCTGTAGCAAAGCAAAAGAAAACAAGTCCCAGTCTCAGCACTTTAATCTTGAGCAAGTACTTTCTTCTCAGGAAGATCAGGGTTGAAATTGCTCCAGTTTTCTGCTTCATTTTGTCTTAAACTTCTTTTCATAGAGACCATTAAGCATGGCTTGAAATAAAGGTCTCTTCCAGGTGCACTTACCTGTCTGCACCAGACCCATCCCACGGCTCTTCCAGCTGAACAAAATGGAGCAAAACTTAGTTTTAGATGTAGCAAGAGTTTGCAAAGCATAGCAGAACTCATGGAACAGTGCCTTGAAGTGATGTGGGACTTTTTTGGCAGTAGTGCAAATGTCACTGAGTGGTTGTTTCTCATTTTCAAAAATCCTTTTGGAAATGAATGTTGGTTTAGGGAAAGGCTGCCTCTCTCCTGGTGGTCGCACTCCCCGAGCAGGGCAGGTAAAGGCAGGAATTAGCAGGAGAGAGGGAGGAGATGCCGGGTTTGGGACCTCGCTAAAGCCGAGGTGCGGTGAAGGAGCGGCGGTGACGGGCGGGCTGCGCTCTCTGGCGGCTGCAGATGGAGACGCCACTAATTACTCGTTAATTACTCACATTAATGACCCCGTGATGGGGATTTGAGCTGGATGATCCTTACGGTCCCTTCTCACCCAAACCGCTCTGTGATTCCATGACTCCCGTGGCATTTATCTGCTCCTCGCACAGGCTTTTCCATCTCTAAACTAAGGGTAGGCAAAGCTGCTTCTGAAGATGAAAACGAGGATAATTAAGAAAAAATTAAAGCCCACAGGGTTTTATTACAGAAGGAGCTGCCTGTAGCATGGAGCAAAGCTCGGTCCAAGCACAGGATCAGGGCTGGTGTCAGGAGCCTGCAGACCCCTTTTTGGGTCTTTGCTTTGAAAAACAGAAATCATCCATGAGTTGTTCCCACAAAGGGAAACAGAGGCAAAGAAAAGGGGAAAGACTTTCCCAAGGGCTGCCAGATTTGCACAAAAATTAATAATAATCGAAGGCAAAGTGAAACCAATTCCCCTGTGTCTCATGGGGTCAGCAACCAGAGCTGTAGATAAAATCAAAAATCAACCTTGATTTCATGACTTTCGGCCTGACCTGTGCCCTTTACTTCCTAACAATTCTCTGAGGGCATGGGGAGCACCAAGGGGACCATGAAGAAACGTAGAGTGAGGAACAGGAGGATGTCAGTGCCACTATTCCTTTGTCTCCCTGTCCCAGCACTCTGACAGACGCCGTGTCCCGGGCCCTGGACAACATCGGCCACGTGTACGCCCGAAGTGGCAAGTTCCAGCAGGCCATCAACACGTATGTACACCCAGCAGCACAGGCATCAGGCCTTGCAGTGACCCAGGCCGTGGTTCTTCAGCTGTGTGTTCTCACTGCAGCCAGGCCTGGGGGAATTTTCACACCTGAACCCTTTGCTATCAAATCAGTGGTTGAGTTGTAACTGCACCCAGTGAGGGTTGGTAAAGGTTTGTCTGTCTTACTCTGCTTGAAGCTGGGAGGAGAAGATTCCACTGGCCCAATCCAGCCTGGAGAAGGCCTGGCTGTTCCATGAAATTGGGCGGTGCTACCTCGAGCTGGATAAAGCTGAAGTAGCCCAAGATTATGGCCAGAAGTCCCTGCAGTCAGCAGAAGAAGAGGGAGATGTGGAGTGGCAGCTCCACGCCACCGTGCTGGTGGCACAGGCACAAGGTAAAGATGTGGGCACAGGTTTTGCTCTCAGGGTGGAGAAGCTGGTCTGAAAACATCTCTAGGATTTAACAGCCAAAGTAACTGCTCAGATCAAGAGTGGCTTGATTACTTCTTGCTGTTCTCCTGATCCTGGGCTAAACCAGCTGATATCCTCCTCTGTTCCAGTGAAACTGAAAGATTACCGGGCTGCAATCCTGAATTTTGAAAGGGCTCTGGAGAAGGCAAGGCTTGTGCCCAGTGAATCTGCTCAAAATGGCATCATTGCGGTAAGGGGGCCGCCGAGGGGAGGAGGAGCTCTGGGCAGCCTCTGTCAGTAGCTGTTATCCCAGCTGGGATTCCCCAGCCAGTAATGCCAGAAAAATGTAATTTTACAGTAGGAAAGGATTCTGGTAATGATAGCAGACAGCAAAAGAAAACAGGAAAATGTTGGGTATGTAGCTGCGTTCCTGGGGCTTTTGTTAAGAACTTCATTCCTTTCAGGCCTTGGATAGTGTGAGCAAAAGCTTCATTGCAGAACTGAACAAAGGCCACGAAGATGGGATGAATCCCTCACGTGAAGGTACTTGTTGTTCACTCCTCTGCACCCAAAAATGGGAAAACCCCCCCACTCTCTTCTGTACATCAGCAGCACCTTAGAATTCCCACAGCACCCATTTCCTTGCAAGTATTGAATTAAAATCTTGGTGGAGGTGCAGGATTGCTTCAGCTGCGTGCCCAGCTTAGGGACAGCAGCGCTCCCAGAGTGTCCCCTGCAGGCTGGCCCGGTGTCACCTCCTGGGCTTCGGGGAAGGTCCTGGCAGGGCCCGGGGCTGCTCCCCTCAGTGCAGCCCAGGACCTGGAGGGCAGTGAGAGATTCCTGGTGAGGGTAAGGGAGCCCGGGGGCCTTTCTTGTGTCCAACTCCTGACTTCTAGGACTTGGCTTAAGTTTCCTTTTCCCTTCCCAGATCGCCTTTTCAGCAGTGAAAGCATAAAAACCACCACTGAGAACGTGGAAGAGGAGGAGAAAGGGAATTGAGATAAAAAGGCACAAGAGGAAGCCAGAAACCCCGCGTAAGCAGACGGAAACGTTAAAGGGGAGAAACGGACAATGAAATAAAGGACAGCAGTGGGGAAAAGTAGAGCCTAGGCGGGAAGTTTAAATAAATATTGAGCAAACGTCGTACCCAGGAGCGGTGTGTCCGTAGCAGGGAGGAGCTGGTCCGAGCCTCCCCCCGCCCCGGGACTGTCCCGGCAGCATCCCCGGGACCGGCTGCTCCGCGGCCGGGCGGGGCTGAGCCCCGGGGCCCCCCCGCCGGCCCGGGGAGGGCTCGGCCCGGCCCTCGGGGGCGGGCGAGTCCCGGGGCTATGAAAGGAGCGGCGGCCGCGCCCGCCCCAGAGCCGCTTCCCCGCCGCGCCGCTCCGCACCGGCGGCCGCCCCGGAGCCGCTGCCCTCACCATGGTAAGGGGATGGGGGCGAGGATCGGGGCTGGCAGCGGGGCTAGCATCGGGACCGGGATCGGGATCGGACTGAACTCCGCCCGGCAAAGGTTCCGGTGTCCCGGAGCGCCGGCGGCGTTGCGGACATGTGGGCGCTGGGTCTGGGGGGGACGCGGAGGCAACCGAGCCCCGAGAACGGCCCCGGGGAGCCGTGGCTCCGTCTGGGGGTCCCGGGACACTCTGGGGGCTGCCGGGGCACGGGCAGCCCGGGAGCGGGAGCGATGGCTCCCCCCACGCCAGCCCCCGTTCCGCGGGGAGCAGGAGACAAGCGGGAGCTTTGTGGGGGCGGCTCAATGGGAGATTGTCCGGCCGGACCCCGCTCCGCCGGGCTCTGCGGAGCCTTTGTCCGCCCGGCCCGGCCCGTGAAGGCGCCCGTTGTCCCCGAGCCGGCGGCGAACAATGGCCCGGGGGGGGCCGCGATTGTTCCTTTGTTCACGGGGCTGAAAAGCGCCTCAGTCCCCTCGGCAGCTGCCGCGGCAGAACAGCGGCCCCGGTGCCCGCCCGCGGGACAGCCCGGCCCGGGACAGCCCGGCCCGGGACAGCCCGGTGCGGGGACAGCCCGGTGAGGGGACAGACAGCTCGGGGCTGTCCGGCCCTGCGAGCCCCTGGCAAGCGGGGCACCTGTGCTGAGAGAAGGAGCAGCGCTCCAGCAAACTCACTGGCTTCCTCCTCTGTGAGCGCTTTGAGCCCCGAGTGTGCGGGGAAAGCAGCACGGGGGTCGCCGGGGAGCACACAGGTCCCTGCTGCTCTCAGTTTGTCCCCGGCTGGGTGTAAGGATGCAGCTGAGCCCAGGGCAGGCAGTGCCGTGGGGTCCTGCTTCTGCTCCCAGGGCATTTGGAACCAAAACCCACCTGCATCTTCTGGAATAAAGAGATGAGGAATCAACATCTGAAAAGTATTTTTTAAAAAATGCAGACTGGAAACATTTTTCTGGGCCAGGCAGAGCAGTTATGTTTTATGTAAAACTTCTCAATTTTTGCATCAAAGGCAAAACTCACTTCTTGGGCATCACTCCCACGGTCCAGTGGATCCCAGGCTGGGCTGGCCTTCAGGCAGCTGGGGGATGGAAAGTTCATGTATTGACCCAACAAAAAATGTCTGCCTCGATGCTATTGAGGACTCGCACAGCTGAAGAAATCCCACGTTTCCTTTCAGTCCCGTGTTTTCCCAGGTCCTACTGGGAATTAATGTGGGATTCTGCTAACTGCAGCTGCTGGCAGGAGGGGAGGCACAGCCATGCCAGCTCCCAGCGGCATCTCCCGCTCACTGCTGCCAACCACGAGTGTCTGATTTCCTCCAGCACTCGAGGTTTCACTTTCGAGTTCTGCCTTGCAGCTGCTGGGAGGGGTTTGGCTTTCCTGGAAGCCGTCTCAGTTGCTCTTCCCAAGAGGAGCCCAAATTCCCTCCTGTGAGGGAGAGACAGCACCATCCTTGTGCTGCTCTAGGAAACAGCCTGGGAACAGTTTGTGATTCAGGTGAAGGGACAGGAGTGTGGCAGCTCTCAGCCTGCTGGGACTTTCAGTTCCCCTTGGGCTCCTCCGCGGGTCACCGCCCTCGCATCCGGCAGCCACAGGTGTTTGTTCAAGTGCTCAAAATGTGCCATACAAGGAGCTCTGCCTGGGCTGGGGCTTTGTGGCAGCCTGAAAAATCCCCTCCTAGCAGGGCAGGACTGCAGCTGCCGAGGCCAGAGGGGGAGCAGGGCTGAACCTTCAGCCCTTGGGTGGGATGCAGTGGATCCCTGCTGTGCAACCAGCCAGAGCAGCTGTGGGAGAAGGTGTCAGCTGAGCACCCAAGCGAGGCAGTGTGGGGGAGATGCTCCCTGTGCCCATCCTTTCCACAAAAGGTCCCAGCAGGGCCACATTGTCCCTGGGGTTCCTGCCCTGCAAAGTGTTTTCTCCTTCCATTTCAGAACAGAGGCTTCTCCAAGAAGAGTCACCCTTTCCTGCCTAAAATATTTAGAAAGATGTCTACTCAATCAGCGAAAGAGAGACCCGAGAGTTTGCATTTCCCGTTCCTGGACGACGAAGACACCATCTCCACACTGAAAGAATCCAAAACCTTTTTCATCCTGCGGGGCCTGCCTGGCAGTGGGAAGTCCACCCTCGCCCAGGCCATCCACGACCGCTACAAAGACGCCTGCAAGGTCATCTCTGTTGATCACTATAAAATTACACCACTAATAAGAAGCTCCATTCCCGAAGAGTACTCCAAGGTGGATGAGGATCTAGTTGACTATTGCAAACGGGAGGTCAGCGTCATTGTTTTGGATGACACCCACCACGAGCGGGAGCGGCTGGACCAGCTCTTTGACATTGCTGACAAGTACCGCTACAAAGTCATCTTCGCCGAGCCCAAAACCCCCTGGCGCTTGGATTGTCCCCAGCTAAAGGACAAGAATCAGTGGAAACTGTCTGTGGAAGAGCTGAAGAAGATGAAGCCGAGCTTAGAGAAGGAATTCCTCCCCATGTATTTTGGGTGGTTTTTGAGCAAAAGAAGTTCGGAGATCCTGAGGAAGGCTGGCCAGGCATTCTTGGATGAGCTTGGGAGTCTCAAAGCCTTCAAGAAGGAGAGTAAATACTGTATGTATTGATGTTCTCTTACCACATTCTTACCTGATGATGTTAACGAGTCTGATTAGCTTCTAAAATCAATTTCTAACACTGCCAATGAGAAAAGCTTTTTAAAGCTACTAACCTGGCCTTCATAGTTGACAAAGTTGCTTTTATAAATAAAAATAAAGAGCTTTTCTCAAGTCTGTTCAGGTCTGGCCCCACAGGGCACTGAGCTCAGGTGGCAGCAGCAGGACATGGGATCCTGGGTGTCCCCTGGTTCCAAGGGGTTGGGTGGTAAAAAGGCAAAGGCAGAGAAATGGGAAAGGCTGAACAAGCCACCAGGTTTAAGATGAGCCACGATGATGCACAGGAGCTTCTGGTTTTTGTCTCCATCTGCAGTGAGCCTGGGGGGAGGGAGGGGTTTGGTTTCCCACCCAGCAGTCAGAGAGATGAGATGTGAAGGCTGAGGTAGGGAAGGGAACTGAGATGGGACCAGGGCTCATGGGTTGACCTCAGGGGGATCACTTTGTGACACTGTTCACCTATATCTGCAGTTCCTTCTGCTATCGAAGATCCCAAAATAAAAATAGATCTCACCAGCTACTTTGTGAAGAGGCCACCTGGGGTCCTGCACTGCACCACGAAGTACACCGAGTTTGGAAAAGCAGCTGGAGCCGAGGAATATGCGCAGCAGGAAGTGAGTGTTGGGGTCCCACCTCCTCCCCATGTCCCCTCCCTGCCCTTTGGGGTGTCCATGAGCCTGGGAGAGGGTTAGGGATGGCTTTGCTGTGACCCAAGAGGCCAAATGTAGGGACAGGAACTACATCCATATGGCCTGTGCAGAGAAAACTCCAAACTGTAGACATGGTGATTTTTTGTTTCCTGTTGCCAAACAAAATACTCCCACTTTCCCCAATCAGACATGACTTCCAGCATCATCGCTGACAGCTTGACTGAATGATGATGAATTGAGGTATTTAGATCCCAAGATTGTTTATTTCAGGGCACGTAAACCCAGGTTAAATACTGGAATTTGTGAAGGACAAAGACATTACCAGCTCCAGAGCTGGGACATCGGGCCCACCTTCTCCTTGCTCTGGGCATTTTGACCATGTCACAGCAAGAGCTGCCATGAGCAGCCATGCTGTCCCCGAGCCTGGGGACAGTGAATCCCCACCAACAGCACTAACACTGTCCTGGTGTGTCCCTCTCCTGCAGGCAGTGAAGTCTTCCTACGGCAAAGGCTTCACCCTCTCCATCTCGGCGCTGTTCATCACCACAAAGACTGTCGGGGCTCGCATCGAGCTGAGCGAGCAGCAGCTGCTGCTGTGGCCCGGGGATGCTGACAAGATCCTGCCCACAGACAACCTGCCCCGGGGCAGCCGGGCCCACATCACCCTGGGCTGCGCCAACGGCGTCGAAGCCGTGCAGACGGGGCTCGACCTGCTGGAGTTTGTGAAGCTGGAGAAGGCAGGGAACAAAGGGGAGCAAGTGGGGGAAATTGGAGGGGGGAAGCTGCTGTATTTTGATAATGGTATGTGGATGCTTGTCCTGTCTAAAAAGATTGATGTGAGGGCGATATTCTCGGGGTACTACGGGAAGGGAAAACTCGTGCCCACACAGAGCACCAACAAACGGGGCGCTGCCTTTAGCTCCTGCACCATCATCTAGAGCACAGGCAGGGCAGCTCCTCGGTTTGTTTTTAAAAGGCAAGTAACTCCTGTAACCTTAAAAGTGTAAAGAGAAATAATTCTACCTTTACTAAAGTCAACCCTCCTGCCCACCCCAGCGTGAAGCCTCTGGGGAGTTATCGGCCTCAGCAAAGGAAGAAAACAAGCAACTCCTGACTGAAACTGTCACGGATTTTAATGTGAGTTTTGGAGGGAACCTGCTGGGCTGTCCTGCTTGTTTTCTTCCTTGGAGAAAGATCAACTCTGGGGCTTTTATTGCTTCCCTCTGAACCACAATCGTTCGATCTGTACCTGCTGGCACTGACCGAAGCCTGTCAGTTGCTGTTCTGAAGCCAAGGGAACTGCAGGATGTCCCTCCCCTCCCACCCCCAGGGACTGACATTGGCCATTCTGGCAGCTGATTACAGGGCCAGAACTAGTGAGACCCAGGCATGGGTCACTCCTGTCAGGAGTCCTGCCCTTACCAAGGGTTTGGCCCTGAGGACAGACCCTGTTAAGGGCAGCAGGTCCTGGCAGCCCAAATCGCAGCTGCCCAGTGGGCTCCATCCCAGTCCTGTCCCTCACAGCAGAGATGCTCTGGGGACAGCCAGGAGGAGGGCACTGTGCCAGGTGATGCCTTAAAGACACCAACTTTGGGGAAATCAAGTGAAACACCAGGACAGGGAGCCAATTCCCTCCACCTGGGCTGGACCAAGCACCATCCCGTGTCCTGTAGGGAACAATCCTGCCTTGGCAGGGAGTGGAAGAGATGAACTAACATCTTTTCCATCTTATTCGATAGAAACTAAAATCATGTCTGAAGTACACAACTGGACTTCATGCAAGATTTTACTCCCTTCCTCTAATGCACTTGAATGTTAAGAGTTAGGCTGGAGTAACCCTGTAGTGTAGGAAGTGGAGGCACTGTAACCTTGTAACTCATGTCTGCTCGAACCTAAACCCCAGCTGGAAGTTACTGACCCAGCACTTGTGTCATTAAATGTGTTTTATTGCAACCTGGCTTTGTGCTGTGCCAGGCCCTGGCCCAGCTCCTGGGCATTGTTTAACACAAAGCCCCACTAACAGCCCCAGGTAAGGTCCCAGCTCGACCTCCTGCCCTGGCCCAGGGTCTGGGGAGCAGCAGAGTGACATTAACCCAACTAACACTGTAAATACTGACGGTGTTTGAGGCGTGGGCTGGGCTGGGGCTCACCCCGAGTCCAATGTTGCTGGGGCAAGGAGCATTTCTCTCCGACTGTTGAGGCCAAAAGCAGGGAGAGCTTTGGAGCTTTTGTGGTACCAAACACTCTGCCGTGAAAGCAAAATACTTCCTGCTGATCAGGAGCAAAGAATAAGAATAAATTCAAATTATATCATAAAATAGTGAGCTATAAACCCACCCAGAGCACCTTCATGGAGAAATCCCTCCAACCTTCCACAGTGGCAGCAGCTGAGTGCCCAACGCTCAGCCAGGGCCTCTCCTGACAGAACCTCAAGGGTTTGTTCCACCAAAGCTCTACAAGGGATTTGCCAGCACCTGCCCAGGGGCTGGCTGAGCCCACACCCCCAGTGCCCAGATCACTCCAGCATTGGAATACACAGCTGGAATATCTCCTTCATCTGCCTGTTCAAGAACAACAGTGACATTGTCGTCGTTTGAGTTTTTATTAGTTTGTACATCATATACAGTTTATAATAAAGTAAAACCGATTGCATATGGGTCTGCTCAGGCTGATTTCCCATACAAACACGGCATCAGGAGTTCTGCTAAGGAAGTAAACAACAAATATTCACATTTTTACCATTCACATCCTAGAAAGGTCCAAGAGGGACGGCTGGTACCGATGCGGAGCCCGGCTGGGAGAGGATGAGGAGTTTGGCAAAGCAATGGGACAGCAATTGCTCCATGCAATTCTCCTTTCCTCCCAGGGAAAGGTTGAGCTATGTACACTGAGGTAAACATTCCGAATTCCAATTCAGATAAATACGGCAGCACAGGGACAAGCTCCTCTCCAAGTGGCTTCGCATCGGTGCCTGGGTTTGTCCTGACTAATCCACAGAGTTGTGACCCACGTGCACTGTGGGGCTCTGGGTGCTCCCTGTGGCCCCTCGGGTGCTGCCTCACCACACTCTGTTCACAGGAGCCATCAGGGGTCACTGGGGACAGGGTGGGCAGTCAGACAGGCGGGGATGGCAGCAGGGCTGTTGATCCTGCTGGGCTCCCCACGGATCCTGCCCTGCCCGGCCACCCCTGAGCTCCACTCGGGTGCAGTGTCCCAGCTCCCAGCAACAGAGCAGAGCTGTCCCTCCAAGCTCGGATCTGGGTGAGGGAAAACGCCCAGCACTGCTCCAAGAAGGGATAACCCCATCCATGATGGTGGGAGTGGGGAGAGCTGGGCCTGGCCAGGAAGGCCAGAGCGTTTCACATCAGCTCCCACAGTCATGCAGGGACCCAGAATGGCCCCACAGAGCCAAGGGCAGGGACAGCCACCAGCCACTGCCACCTACCCCTGGCACAGCCCTGCCACAGCTGCCCAGGGACTAGCACTGCTCCAGGGGGGTGCAGCACACAGTTGTCCTGTTCCCTAGGGAAGAGGAGGGGAAAGGACAAGGCACGAATTTGAACAGGATGAAAACCATCCATTAGAAATAAGAGAATAGCTGGAGTTATTACTGAAACTGAGGAGGTCATTTGGAAATGCAAAGCAGCACGTGGCCCAGCCCTGTGGCTCTCTGCTGGCTGCAGGTCCAGGGCCAGCGTGGCTGCACAGGGACTGGCACCAGCTCCCATGTCAGACACAGCAGCAGAGCAGCATCCACTCTGTCTCAGCAGACACAGAGGGTGGAGGGGCCTGCTATTCCATGGACAATACTCTTCTACCTGAACAATTTGTCTTTCTGTCATTTTCCAACCTGCATTTCTGCATTTACAACAGCCAGCAGCACTGGGGATGCTGCTCACTGAACACTCCCAGGGTCAAAACCAAATCAGGTACGTTTCAGTGCAGCTAAAGCAAGGAGGAACCTTAAGAGGGTGGCCACAACCTCCTGAATGGACTTCACAGCTTTCCACCCCAAACTATTCCACGATTCTATGAGCATGACCAGACAAAACCACATCCAAGGCAAAGCCCAGCAGCCACACAATTCCTGATCTCCCTGCCAAAACTGCAGTCCTACAGCAGAGCCCTCCCATGCCAGCTCTGCCCACAGCCACACTCCTCACACATTTCTCTTCACAACTTTCCCAGGGAAGCTGACAGCCACTTGCCAGCTCTAGAGCATCTTCTCCCAACTTGGCTGGTGGAAGACACCCCCTGCCACACCAGCCTGGTCTGGCTCTCAGCCACAGCACCTCTGCTCTTTCCAGGCCCTTCTTGCTGGCAGCAGCTCTCACAGCACCAGCCATTCCCCCTTGGAGAGCCCTGGCAGGAGTTGCCAGGCTGAGAGTCACACCAAAGTGTGTCCATGCCACCACAGCACCACCTCCTGCACCTCTGTGTGCTCTCTGTCCTTCTGGGAACAGCACAGGCACTGCAGCTCTTGAAGATGCTCATTTGTGGTCTCTGTGGCAAATCCCTGCAGCCAGTGACCCCCCTGGGGCTGCAGGGCACACATGGGGGCTGTGAGCAGCTGGAGCACTGGCACTCAGCTTCCCTGCAGCTACACCCAAGCACAACCCATGGACAATGTCCTGGAACCACCATGTGTGGAGGCAACACTCCAAGCAATGCACAGCTGAGTCCATTTTTTTTTGAAAGAAGCAGAGTTTTGTGTCCCCAGGCCGTGCTGGGACACGGTGGAGGTCACAGTGCCACTGGACACTGCTGCTGCCCTGAGGTGCCAGGTGCCACCAAGCCCTGCTCAGCCCTGCTCTGTGCCAGGGGAACAGGGACTGCACAGGTCCCAGGGCACTCTGGGCTAGTGGAAAGTGTCCCTGCCCATGGCAGGGGGTTGGACTTGACAGCCTTTAAAGGCCTCCAAGCCCAATCCATTCCATGGTTCCATGCATTTGCCTTCACCTTGATTCACGTAACAACGTGCTGTAGAAAGTCTTGGCACTCACCATATGAATATTTAACTACATTAAATCATGCATTCATGTACAGGTTATAAATAGCTGCTGTATACATTTTCTCTCCCAGAAGCAGAGCCATTCCACTCCTGTGCTCCAAGGAATGGGCTCAGTCAGCTTGGAGAGAAGGAAGGGAGGAAGGAAGCTGGTCACACTTCCCTGGGGCAGGGGGAAATGAGAATAAACCCACTGACAGACACAGAACACGGCTCTGCTCAGCAATGAGAGACTGAGAACAGCCCAAACTGTACAGTGACATCAACACACACACACAGGACGAGGTGTCATGGAACCAAAATGCCACTAAACTCTTGTAAACTCAGATTACAGTGCCAGGAAAGCTGGGGAAGCATCAGTGTGCATAGACCAGTATTTCAGTTCCCCACGTATTCACCATTTCAGAGCCTGAAAAGTGCCAGGCCCCAGCTGCTCTGGGTGCACCTGGGTGGCTCCATCCCTCACACTGCTGTGAAGGATGGCAGAACAAACGTGGGAGAGTTGGGTTTTGAAAGCACAACTCAGCACTGGCTCACTTAGAAAGCTGAGTTTCAAATGAGTTGTAAAATACTCTATTCTGCAGTGCTAAAATTGAAGCCCTTAAATTTTCCCTCTGTGAAAGCAGATTGTCAAGAATCCTGACCAAACACCACAGCAGGACCACCTCGAGGTCCTGCACCAGTCCCTGTCCTGCTGGAGGGCACACCCAGCCCTCGGGAGGGAGGAAGACAAAGACCTGGCATTCCAGTGATCACCTGGAGCAAGGAGCTCCCTGCAGTGTTTGCTCTGCTGTGGGAAGGCAAAGCAGCTGTTACAGAGTCCCTGTGAGCTTCTCTCTCACAAACAGCCATTCTCTGAGCTAACTCCAGCTTCCAGCAGCCCTACGCTGCCAGGGTCAGCCCAGGACCCCCAGCCACAGCCCCTCACTGAGCACCAGCCCAGGACCCCCAGCCACAGCCCCTCTGCTCCCCTCACAACCCCCTGGGACTGGGCCTGACAGCAGCAGGCTCCAGAACCACCAGACAGGAGCTCACACAGGGCACCTGGACAAGAAGGTGCTGCCCATGCTGTAGAGAAAAGGGGGGACCCTGCTGTAACACCACCTTTTGGGTGAAAATCAAACTGCTGACAGGCAGTGCCCCACATCAAACCCACCAGGACACAGCTCCAGGCCAGAGCTCATCCATCCCTCCAGCTCCTGTCCTGACACTGCACAAGAGAAAGTCAGACTGCCAGTTCAGAGCTGGACTTTGCATTTTCTTGCTGCTTTGGAGGAGTAAATCACTGCCAGAGGAAAACCACTCAGCCAGGTTAACTAAACACACAGCTGCTGCACATCCCAAACCACCCAGGACCCCTGCCTGGAACTCACTTGGCATTGAAAGACTCACCCATGTCATGGATCAGTAACAGGAAATCACACATCAAGCTCAACAAAATCAAGTTCAGCACAAATATAAAATATTCAAGTGGATTAATTTAAAAAAGTACAGTGAAGGAATTCAGCCCAGAGCAAATTCAATATTCCCTTAAACAGGACAATCTTGGGAACACAAAGCCCTTAATTCCAGCTGCATCACAGGGAATTCTCACATAAGCTGCTCTTTGAACTCTAAGCAGCATTTCTCTGATACAGAATTGTAAGCTCACATGTTATCATAGAAGTTTAATGCCCAAGTGGGCCTTGCTGGGAGAACCATGAAAAAAAAAAAAAAGAAATAAAAAGAGCAAAGAAGCCAGGCTTGCAGGTGAAATGGGATTGTACAAAACTGGATTGAGCCTTGGCAGTATTTCCAAAAGATTAACATAACTTACAAGTTACTCCAAACCCTGGACATGCTGCTTTGGAAGCAACCAGAACAAACCAGGAATTCTTTCTCCCTCACACATGTGGAGATTCTGGGAAGATTCCAGGAAATCCTCCGTGTTGAGGGGCAGAAGCAGCTGAAAGCACGGGCCAGCATGGAGGGACCAAAAGATTCAAAGCTTTATTTTTTTTTTTTTTTAATAAAGTTAACAGTAAAACAAAATTCACAAGCCTTCCCCTCCCGAGCTGGTTTCCTCTTCACACACACAACACACAAACAGAGGCTCCAACCCAGAAATGAAACTGCTCTAAGGACAACGAGACGTGATGGAGGAGGAGTCTGGGGCTGTCCGTATTCGAGGTTAAAAGAAGCAGATCAGGTATGTGTGGTTTGATTTGTGTTTGTTTGCTTCTTAGCCAAACTGGAAAAAGAAATTTCCAGGCCCAGAAGCTGAAAAAGAAAATGGAAGATAATCAGGACTTTTCAAATCCACATAGGTTTAGTGTAATCCTAAGCAGCACGTGGATGGCCAAGCCCACACACAGCTCCAGAATGAGGAGTCCCCAGGTTTGTGGCTTTGGAACCCAGAAGAACCAGAACCAGCTCACACTGTGCAGGCAGAACTTGGAAAGAGCTTTTAGGTTTGTGCAACAGCCAAATGCTCTCCTGAAGCAGCAGCACATCCACTGGGAGCCCCAGCTGCCCTGCCAGGGATCTGTGTACTCACGATTCCACGGCTGGGAGGAGAACATCTCACCTACCTTCAAAGCTGAAGCCCCCTGGCCCGCTGAAGAAGGCCTTGAAGATGTTATTTGGATCAAATTCTACAGGGGAGAGAAGGAATTCATGAGCTGCAGTGAAACAGGCATCACATTCCCACAGTTCAGGAGCTGTCAGCTCACTGAGGCTCCAGAGTGTCCCAGAAGGGGACACAGGGCTGGCTCCCAGCACCTGGGGCCATGCAGTGACCACAAACAGGTAAAGCAGCTGTCCCAGAGAGAACCTGCCACAGGGCAGCCCAAGGATCTGGATAAGCAGCATTTAGGGACTCACAATGACTATTTACCACATCCTGTGGCAGATTTCTGCCCCATGGCAGCTACTGCCCACCAGCTGAGCCAACACCCAGCAGTGTCCCAGCCTGCTCCCAGCTGGAACCACTCAGCTCATCCCAGTGTTACAGGGACTAAACCAAGTGAATTCATGGAACCATTCCCAGCAGCAGGCTTGCTTTAGGCAGATTCTAAAGGGTCTGATCTTGTTGCAGGCTGCCATGGCAGGGTATTGTAAAGAACACTGACCTCCCATGTTTAATCCATCCTCTTCCAAGTCCTGCCCACTGTCATAGCGAGCCTTCTTCTTGGGATCTGACAGGATGGTGAAGGCTTCACCAACCTCCTTAAATTTCTTCTCCTCTTCCTTCTGTACTTCTGCACTTGCTCCACTGTGTCGGTCTGGGGATACACAAACAAGCAGGAAAAAGCTTTTAATTTCTAGTACAAATGGATAATGTTAAACACTCCCAAGCTCCTTCCCAGAACATCTCAGAGCTGCTATTTGCCAGAAATTCCCTCTCCCACACACATTTGTGCCTCAGTGGTGGCTGCACAGGGCACACAAGGACAGCTGGGGGTACCTGGATGGTGCATTAGTGCTCGTTTCCTGTAAGCCTTCTTGATCTCATCTTCAGAGGCATTTTTGTTCACCCCCAGGATTTTGTAGTAGTCTTTCCTTTTGCTCTTTTTCAGTTCCACCTGTGCATTCTTTAGCAGCTGCTTGTGTTCTGCAAAGGATCACAACACCAGGGGAGGAGTTACTCCATCCTTTCCACTTCAGGCCACTCAAAAAGCAAGGGGACAGTCGAGACAGGAACCAAAACCAGACATTCTGAACCCAGTGCACTGCCTCACACACAAGCTGAATTATCACCTCAGCATTCAGAGCTGGGAGAGAAACCAGACCAGAGACAGGGATCTCCAGTGCTTCTAAGAGCTTTTCCAAATTGTCCTGCTGGGATATTAGGCTGCAAATCACAGCATAATATGGGGGGAAAAAGGAACAACAAAAAATTGCCAGTTCGGGGAAATTTATGAACAGAGTGCTCTTGTGCTCACCTTTTGTTTTCTCTGTCTGATAAACCTTCTCATAGTCTCTTACAGCATCTTCATATTGCTCTGTGTCCATGTAACTGTGGAAAGAAACACAGGTGGCCAAGGTGTCCTTCACAGGAACATCAGAAGGGGTTCAGGGCAGGCTGTCTCAGTGGATGTGGATTAAGAGAAGTGCTCTGGACTGCAGCAGATCAGACCTCAGAGGAGCCCTGACACTTGTGGGAAAGCCTGTCACAGGAACCTGCACTCTGGGCTCCAAGGGGACACTGTAAACTCCTTTGGCAGCACAAGTTCTGCTTTAACGACCTGGTAATTCCAATATGCAGCTGCAGGAACTGATCCCAGCCAGCCTGAGCTCCAGGAAGCTGGGGCAGGGTCAGAGCTGGCACAGAGCTTCACAGTGACAGTGCTGGTCAGGATTGACAATCCTGGCACCTCCAAGGGACACATGTCTGTCTGTCACACCTCAGCCTTACTCACACATTGCCTACTCACTGTAACTTAGCAATTAGAGATGGAAAAGATTGATATTGGAGGTCTTTTTCAATCTCTTTCCAGCTACTGTAAATTTGCAATTGCAGACATGGAGAGGGGCTCTCTGGGACAGAACATCTATAAACACAGTCAGTGTCTATAAACACAGTCAGTTGAATCAAGTTTTAGAACAAATCCTCCCTAAATCCTGTTCAGATCATATATGAGGAAGGATTTCCTCACTGAAAGGGTGGTCAGGATTGAAACTGGTTGCCCAGGGGGGTGGTGGAGTCACCATTCCAGGAGATGCTCACGGAACAACTGGATGTGGTACTCAGTGCTCTGGTCTACTTGACAAGACTGTAATTGGCCAAAGGTTGGTGCCAATGATTTTGGAGGTCTTTTCCCACCCAAATGATGCCATAAATACACCATCAAGAGGCAGTGCCAGACCCAGGCAGGCCGGAGAGGCCACAGAGAGCCACCCCCATCTCCTCAGAAGCACAAGGAATAAATTCAGAGCTCCTTCCATTCAGTCAAGCTCCAGATGTGTGACGCTGTCCCTCAGAGCTGCCAGGGGGACACTGCTGTCCCCACAGGTGCCCGTGGCAAGGTGCACTCACCACTGTGCCCTCCTCAGGTAGGCTTTGACGTAGGTGTCGTCCAGCTTCACCGCGTTCGTGCAGTCGTCGATCGCTTCTTCAAGTTTCCTAAGCTGCAACACCACACACAAGAGAGTGAGCCCACACAGGGAACAAGCTCTGCACCACGGCTTCAGGCTAATGAAAGGTGTGAAGAACCTGGGAAAGTCTCATTGTTTTCTGTGCCTCTGGCTAGGATTTTTTTTCCTGTTTCCCACAAATACAGAGCTTTTGTTCACTGGGAAAAAAAACCAACAGAGGCTTGGGCAGTGACATGACAGAGCTGTGAGGTGCTTCTGTGCAAGAAATGCACTCAACACCAAGGGCCTTCCTGATAACAATCCCAATTCTGTGTCCAAACTAATTCCTGGGCAGGAAGATAAACCCAAAAATATTTAAAAGAAATCTTTTTTAGAAGAAGTGTTGCTTGTTTTCAGACACAAACATGTAGAGACATGCATTATGTGGCCTCCAGCTTATCCCACTTCCCAGGTTTTGGGAACAGCCTGTGTCTCTTGACCAAGTGTGGGTGTCTGGGGAAGCAGCATCAACACTGGGGCAGCTGAGGAAGGAAAATGCCCAGAGGACACAGGGTGGGAATTGGGAGCACTGTCACATGACTGGCTGTTTCTCTGGATAGTGCAGGACTAAACTTCAACAGCAAACTCAAGAAGTGTCATGGGGCTTTAAATTAGGTCTTGTTTTTAACATAAAAACACAAAGCAAGACATGATTTATAAAAATAATAGGAAAATAAATCTGTTCATTCCTGGGAAGGAAACAAACAGAGACAGGGTGCTTTTTGCTGACTAAGATAAGGCTGAAGCATGTCCCTCCTCTCCCTCCCACTCTGTGCAGCCCAAGTATTTCAGTTTTGTTTCTGCAGGAGTCAACTGCTGGCTGTTGGGAACTGATCCAAGTATTGTGCAAGCACAAAACCCTGAAACACTGCCCATGGCCTCAGAGATGCAGCTGCCCAGCAGCCAGGGGAGGCTGTGCTTTCCAAAATAACTGATCTGTGGTTTATCACTGCCATGGTGAGGGATATGGCAACAGCTACCTGCCAGGTGAACATCCCTTACCTTTGAATTAACCGTCCCCCTGTTGCAGTAGAGTTTGGCATTTGTTTTGATATTATTTGGGTCTATTCCTAGTGCCTCTGTGTACAGTTCATATGCTAGTTTGTAGTTGCCTTTCTTGAATGCTTTATTCCCGTCTTCCTTCTTCGCTTTAAGTGCTTTGGCATTCTGAAAGGAAACACACCTGGGTGAGGACACGAGCTCAGGGGGCCAAGCACCTTGTTCTGCCAGACAAGGGTCCTGAGACACAACAGTTCTGCTCTGCTTTCACACACTGTGCAGGACACAAATCACAGCCTTGCTCCAGCAGCTGAAATGATCTCACTTTGCCTTTCCCCCAAGAGAAGCACTAAGGAACAGCCAGTGCCAGTTCCAGGCATTCTCCATAGGAAAAAGGCTGCCTAATTTTTAAGAAGGGAACATGACAATGCAGTAAATTTATGGGTTAAAATAAAAGGACCAGGAGTTCACTTTTTGAGAGCACATGAACAGATTTAAAGTCAGTTGAAGAACCATACCAGGGAAGGAGCAACTTGAAGGAACAGTGTTAAATGGAAGTCAGGGTATTTGCCTGGATATTGGACATGAAAGTCAGAAGGTCCTTTAAAACCAATGTATCTGGTTTTACTGCTGCTCTGTCTGACCAGGGAACAAAGAAGAGTGAAGGGGAGGATGCTGCAAAGTATCTGCTGAGAAATAGTTTCTAGGAGCATGGTTTTATCTGAGGCAGCAGCTGGTTGTCTTTGGGAAAGGTTGGACACACTGCCTGCTCCTGGAGATCTGGGAAAGCCAATTGTGGTATTTGCTGGGTGCCCAGGATGAAGGAGGAATTGAGAATCTGATTCCATGTTCTTAAAAGGCTAATTTATTATTTTATTGTATTATATTCAAGAATGCTATACTAAACTATACTAAAGAATAGAGAAAGGATACAGACAGAAGGCTTAACAAGATATTAATAAAAATCTCATGACTGTTTCTGGAGTCCCAACACAGCTGGATGGTGATTGGTCATTAAGTCAAAACAATTCACTCGAAACCGATCAAACAACCACCTGTTGATAAACAATCTCCAAAACAGCAAAACACAGGAGAAGCAATCAGATAATTACTGTTTTCACTTTTCTCTGAGGCTTCTCAGCTTCCCAGGAGAAGAAATCCTGCTAAAAAGATTTTTCCAGAAAATATGACAGCGACAGCCAGCGATGAGGGCGGGAGAAGGGATTGATCCAACAGAACCAAACTGCGTGTTGAGTTTAAAAAAACCCCAAATCTGGTGATTTTCCAGCCCCATCTCCACCACTTACCCGGCAGGCAAGACAGGCCTTCTCGTGGTCAGGGGCCATCCTGAGGGCCTGCACGAAGAACTGCACGGCCTTCTCGATGCAGTCCTCGTAGTAGAGGCACAGCCCGCGCACGTAGAGCGCGTCGGCGTTGGTCGAGTCCATGCGCAGGATATCACTGCAACACAGCAACAAGCACATCCTCCCTGCTCCTGCCTCCCCCTCATCCACAAGCACCTCTGTCCACCGAGGTACTCTTTGGGGAAGCTTTGTGTGAGGAGGCTCCCAGGATGAGGGAAGAGATGCGAGTCTTGACGTTATGTTTCAGAAGGCCGATTTATTATGATATATGTTATATTAAAATGATATATTCAAACTATACTAAAGGAATAGAGAGAAAAGGATTTATCAGAAGGCTAGGAAGAACAGAATGGAATGCAATAACAACAGCTCCTGACTCCCAGAGTCTGAGCCAGCTGACTGTGACTGGCTGTTAATTAGAAACAACCAACATGTACCAATCACAGCTGTACCTGTTGCATTCCACAGCAGCAGGTAGTTATTGTTTACATTTCTTTCTTGGGGCTTTTCAACTTCTCAAGAGAAAAAATCCTAGCAAAAGATTTTTCATAAAATATCATAGCTACAGTACCCAAGTATTTTAACAAGTCTGTGGTACAGAAAAGGCAAAAGGACAGAAGACTCCTCGAGCAGGATGGTTGGTGAATGGGGTTTGGATGCAGCTTCCCATGAAGATTAATGGGGATAAATTCACACAATCCCTCCTCATCACAATGTTTGTTGGATAATAAATACCCTTTTCCTGACCCAGAGATGGGGCAACTGGGAGGCATTTAAAAAAAATTATTTTATTTTTAGTCTCATGTGACGGGTGAGACAATACAGATTTACAATTTACGCCATCACAATCAGAAGCCAACTATTTCCTAATTACATTACATTATAAGCATCTTTTGGCCTATCAGCTTTTTGCCACCCCATGCTGTAAATGCCTTAAAGGCAATCATCTAAAATTACCCCTCGTGGGTCCCACTATAAGGCACCTTTCATAGTTCTATTTCTCCAAAATATCTAGTCTTATTTGCAAGGCCATCTTTTGAAACTTTCTTCTAGCTCCATTTCTCTCTCACCAATATCTGTCTCAAAGTTTTGACAGTTTCTCAGCACTTCTTGTCTCAAAGTTTCCATGTGGATGCACACTCTGTGTGCCTTCTGTCAAGCCCTAAAAGCTCTCCACAAATCCATTTCCCACAAAGATGCACTAAGGAATATTTGTATTTTCTATTCCCTCACTTATTCCATGCATGGAGCACATAAAGCCAGGACAGCCCAGCAGGTTCTCCTCAGCCCCAGCCCTCAGACACTCACCTGGCCACAGACTGTGCCTCGGGGTACCGGCCCAGCAGTGCCAAACACTCAGCCTTGAGGATTTTGAACCGGTGACAGGCGGGAGCGAACTCCAGAGCACGATCCATGCAAAACACAACCTGGGGTGGGAGAAACCACAGCCCTGAGCACAGCACAGAGCCAAGGGCCTGCTCTGAACACCTGAGGTTTGGGTTTGACCAGGAAGGTGAGCGTGCAGACACCCACCTGCACTGCTGCTGGAGACGGACACATTGCATTGGAAAAATTTCCTGCTATGCTTTTTAAAGTGCACACATTTTTCAAAGGTTGTGCTATTTTCCTGATGTGCTTTTCAAAGTATATGCCTTTTTGAAAGGTTGTGCTATTTTCCTGCTAGGCTTTTCAAAGTACATATCTTTTTTAAAGTTGTGCTTTGTGGGCCAAGGTCTGAGATATCTGCTGTGTTACTGTGACAGAACACTACACAAGACTCAAGGGACACCTGTAGGAGGTCCATCCCTTGAACTCTTCTAAACTGCAAACCCTAAAGAAAGGCCCAAGAAGGACAATCCTGCCCCTGTTTCCTGCAGTATAAAGCCATGTGGGAGGGACAGAAATTCAATAGATTGAGACAGTTTGGACTGGACAAAACACAAAAAAGTACAGTGCAAGGACTGATCTTCCATGGCCTGACAGCCATGGGCAGGGTGAGCTAATGGGTCTTTTCCATCCCTGCACTCTGGTGGGGACATCTGTGCAAGAACGGGGCATTGTTCCCCAAGGTTCATCTGCTCCTCAGCCCGTGACATCACGGGGTCCTGCTGTGGGAAGCACTGTGCTCCAGAGCCAAGGGCTCCTGGTGAGGCAGGAGCAGCTCTCCAGAAACAAAGATCACGTTTCATGTTAGCCTCCCCAGTGAAGTGGGACTGGGGAAGTGAGGGACAGATGCAGATACCCAGGACGTGCCACACAGGCAGGGCAATTCCTACACAGGAAATTCACATTGATCACACATCCCATTTGCTCCTCAGAAACAGGTATGCAAAGCTGGGATTTACCCTTCCAAAATCTTGAGCTTAGCCTAAGAGTGACCTGAACAATGAGCTCAATGTACCAGACATTCTCTTTCTGGGATAAATCTGAGCCTTACATGCATCCACAGCACAGAAACAGTTGCATGAGAAGTGCTTGGTGCCTTTCAGATTTCATGTTGTCATTTCTTGTTCTATCAAGTCAGTACCAGCTGCATCCTGTTACAATCCTTGGGAAGAAAGATTTGGAAACTGTAAAGAGAATGCCCCACACAGATCTGCATTCCTCCTTGTATGACCTGGCACACAGCATGACTTTTTAAATTTTTTTTTTTTCTTTCAAAGAGTTGAGAAAGAAGAATCCTGGATATGCATTTCAGGAGCAAAGCTGCTAACAAAATCTGTCTCAAACAGCTCAATCATTACTCCACTCACCCTGCAAAGCAAACAGTGACAGAGGGTTGGCCTGAGCCAGTCACCTCCTCACTTGTCATTTGGCCAGTGCTCAGGGAGCACGAGCTCTGCCACTTTCAGAGCTGACCCAATTCACCAGCCAGCCCTGCTCCAACAGATGTGGCACAGCACCTCCTAAATACCCAGCCAGGAAACCACCCACACACCTGCCTGGGCCATGCCAAACACACCAGTTTTTATATAAGACCACACCAAACAAGTTAATCTCACCTTCCTGAAATCCCGTTTCTCAAAATCCACTTCAGCTATTTTTTCATACTCAAGCACAGTCGTAGCATTCTTCAGCTGAAAGACAGAACACACGAGTGCTGCAGGACAGACTCTGCTCTGAAATGCCACCAAGCAGCATTTGAACAGCCAATCCCTGAATGTCAGAGCCAAAACTACTGCAGACCACGGACCAATAATGCAGATGACATGAATGCTTTTGCCAGCATTAGAATCAGTTTGAAATGAAGTGACTGAACTGAGAGTCCAGGAAAATGTACCCTGTGAAAGAGATGCAACAGTGGCAGCTGCCTTACACCACTCTCCATTCCTCCTTTGGCCATCTCAGCCTCCTGAGCATCAGTCTGAAGATCCTCTTACCTCCTGCTGTGCCTGGGTATTCTTATGATCCAGTTCTAAAACTCGTTGAAAGCAGCGGCTGGCAGCCATGGCATTCCCTAGGGAAAGGTGGCACTTCCCTTCCCGGAGATGGCCCTGGGAACACAGGGAAAAGGGATTTTAAAGACCTGGAACAGGTGAAGAGAAGGGACTGAATGAGGTGCTTGAAGCTCTCCACGTACCCGTACAAAGCTGTCGTCCAGCCTGACTGACTGCTGAGCATCCTCCAGTGCTTCTCGGAACCTGCCCAGCATCATGAGCGTGGCAGCTCTGTTCCCATAATAACTGGCATTATTGGGACACGTATCTGGAGACAATGCAAGACTCATTATCAGTAATGCAGCAGCTGCACCACTCGTGGCACTTAAGAACATTGGCCCTGACTGGCATTATCGATCTGGTGACATTTCCCAAGGTAATTAAAGCAGGCAAGAGGTTTTCATTCAGCATGTGCTGTCAGAAACCACACTGGTGTGTTTGAAATCAGCAACCAGCTCCACTTTTAGACATGGTGTTCAGTAAAGATTGATATTATCAGCTGTTCTCACCTATGGCTTTTGTGTAGTAGTTGAATGCTTCGTTGTAATCTTTCTTGGCATAGTATGCATTTCCCTGCTCCTTGAATGCCTCTGCTTCTCTGAAAGAAAAAAAAACACCACATTTTCAGAAGAACTGAGCACCAGACAGATTGTGACTATGATGAGCATTTGATCCCCAAGCAGTGTAACTGTTTAATGTTCCAAATTTAAGCTGGCTCTTGTGAGAGCTCCTCAGCACACACTGCCCAGTACACCCCATTTCCTGCTGGCTCCCAGCTACTCCAGCACTTCACCTGGGATACTCAGCAATATTTCCTGGCCAAATTTTACAGGGATGCAAGAGAAGCCTAAAGCCACCTTTGAGTCCACTCAGAGTCCAGCAGAACACCTGCTATGGAGGTCATCCATAGAGCTGCACCTCAGAACAAAAGAGATAGTGCTGGCTCTTCCAGGAGTCCCACATACTTACAAACCAGAGCCAAGAACAATTTCCACATTCAAAAGACAGCTAAATCAAAGAGAAATATGGGTACAAGCCTGCAACAGAAGCCTGGCACTGCCTTGGCAACAGGTCTAGAAATAGTCCTCACACTCAAGAGCAAGCATTTGCAGAGACAGTTTGGGACATTTAAAAACACACAACATATGGTTTAAAGCAGCTTCCCTTAAACTCTCGAAAGCAAAGCTTCCCCTGAGGGAAACCAAGGCCCTTCTCTTCCCTCATCTCCCTTCAGCCTTTCACCTGCACAGGGCAAGAGGAAGAGCACATCACAGTGATGGAACAGCAAATGTGAGCAGTGCTCAGCAGGCTGACCTGGGAGAGAACAAAGGGAATTGTGTTGGAACAAGTTCCCATGTTTTCAGCCTTGCTCAGGCTGCCATTGGCCATTCCCACACAACCACCTCATGCAGGGGTTGTTTTCACTGAGCCATCACAGATTTCCCAGCTGGCAGAACAATGGACATTGGGAGATGGGAAGTGTGCTCTTCACTTTCAGTTTTAAGTTTTGCTGTGTGCTACACCCCAGCCGAGTCCAGCCACAGCCTGGTAGGAGTTAAACCCTGGGAGGAGATGAGATGGGTAAGAAATGTGGCAGAACAAGGGGTAGCACACAGCCACTGCCCCCCAAGGGCCTTGTCCTGGCTCCTGGCTCAGCTCCTCCCACCCCTGCTCCAGAAAATGATGAAGTGGCCCACTGGAGATGGGAAACTGCCATCCCTCCTCTGCCAGAGCCCTCCCAGCATCACACCTGAGGCAGGTGCTGCAGCCTGGCTTTTCCTCCAGTACCCAGCAGAGTCCCAGCAGCTCTGCACTCTCCCAGCTACACTGATGTGCAACAAGGATATGCCTGTGGGGTGGATCCATATCACAAGCATGAGGATGCAAACTCTGTGTGATTAAAATGTTTCCAAACACAACCACCTTTTTTGAATATTACAGATCAGATCTCTAAATACGGTGGAAAAACTACTCAGCACTTCTGCACTTTTGGAACCCGGGCAGTAAAGAGTTTCACTGTTCTCTTGTTTTTGTAATTGCAGATAGAAAAGAAAATCACAGATCTTGTGAAAGCTCCTTCCCTCAGGTCTTTGTTGTACGGTTTAAAGAAATGGGTGAAGTCTTAATGGCAGAACTCACCTGAGTCACCACCACAACCTGTCCAGCACAGTGGGCTGAATCACAAATCTTTCAGCCATTTTACCTGTCCTGTCATGAGCAATTACCATCTAATAGACGCAGCTAAAGGCTGCCTGCCAGAGCACCCCATCTGCCACAAACTGCTGGAAAGAGCAGGGAAAATGGGAGAAAGAAAACATAACCCTGGCAAAACCAATTTTCAGAAAGCACCGGCACTGTGAGATGCCAGAGAAACACTCCCACACAAAGATTACTGTTTTCTACTCTTTTTTATTGGTCTGTTTTCCCTTTAAGCATTTTAATACAGATCAATGTATCAACAAGTCACAGAGCCTCGGGTGACACTGGCAGAAAGGAGAGCACAGGTATTTCTGCTGCTCACATGGCCTAAGGCTTAGCAATGAAGATTGTGAAAGCAAATCACCTCTGCAGCACGAAGGCAAAGGACCTGCTGGAGCTGCCAGGCTGGGCTGGAGCTCCAGCACCAGGACAGAAGCAGCTCTGCCCTGTTGTGCCCTGGTGACACACAGAGCACACAGCCCTTGTTTACCATGGCTCTGGCTCCAACAAGGAGAACTGCAGCCCCTGATCTCACTGGGGATTGTTTCAGCCCAACAGATGCTGTGGCCTGAATGAGCTCATTCTGCCTCCTGCGCTGCTGGGGCCTGCACTCCCCACTTGCTACTTTTGACACTGAAGAAGAATCGTGCTTTGCTAAAATACACCCCCAGCTGAATGGGTGTCTTTGTGACGGGGCTGGTGTCTTCACTGGGCTGCTCCATGCTGGACACAGAAACAGAGAAGAGCTGCACCAAGGAGCTGGGTAAGAAGCTTGTCTTTCATCACTCACATGCACCACAGGCACAGGAGGGGCTGGTGGGAGTGACTCTTCTTGCAAACTAGGCAATTATTTTTTTCTCTTTTGTGGTATTTCTCAGCATCTCTAATACTTGAAGCACTTTGGTCCCAGTCACTGCAGAGAACCTGTCACCATGGAGTCATTTGGGTTGGAAAAAACCTTCCAGATCTTAGACACCGATCACCACCTTGTCAAGCAGGCCAGAGAGCACAGAGTGTCATGTCCAGTCACTCCTTGAACATCTCCAGGGATGGGATCAACAACTGCTCCCTGGACAACCCTTTCTGAGAAGAAATTCCACCCAATGTCCAAGCTGAACCTCTTCTGGCACAGCTGGAGACCAAGGAAGACCAGCAGCAGCTGCATGAGCTGATGCTCCCTTCACACTCGAGCTCTGAGGATGGAGCTCGCTGCCTGCCTGGGGAGAGAGGAACCAGCACAAGGCTCCTTCTCCTCCCCATGCCCTGTGAAAGCTCAGTCCCTGCTCGTTCCCAGCACAGCAGCTCTGGGAGAAGCCATCCTGTGCACAGTGACACAATCCCACGCTTGCCTAACAACTCCTGCCTCCTCCTCAGAGCTTCCACACGCTGCCCCCGCTCGAGTGCCGATCGTGGCTTCCACCTCCCACTCCAGCTCCCAATGAGACTCCTGCAGACACCTGATTTTCTGTCATGGGAACCTTCAGGGATCTGTAACCCAGCAGCTCTTGATCCAGATGTGCTTGGCACAGCCCCTGGGCAGGGATGTGCCAAGGCAATACCACCAGGGACAGAAATCCAACACCTAAGCAGGTGGCAGAGTCACTATCTCCCAGCTCTCCTGACCCTCACTCCCACTTCACTGCCTGCCTCCATTATGAAACGGTGGCAATACCCTAAAATAGCCAGGATTTAAAGAAGGCTCCAAAATCCCATCCTGACCAAGTAATCTTTCCTGTTATGCTCTGGCAATTTTGTGCAGTTCTTGCAGAGGCTTTTCCATCAATAGGATCTGGTGCCTTTATCAGGCATTTTTGGGGGTGAAATCCCACCCAGATTCTCAGCTGTCAGATGTGACTCAGCCGCTGGGGTAAAATAAGTTGTGTGATCTCAATTCAGTTTACAGCAGGCAGATGTCTAGAGCTTAAAATTAGCCATTTTGCCCCTGGACACACAATACCCTCCCCTCCCTTCTTTCAGGACTTGGAAGAGAAACAAAACACTCCAGAAAGACACACAGGGTGCACTTCAGAGACCTGTCCTCAGGTGAGGTTTGACACCGAGTGAGGATTTAGGCATAAAGGAATATATATTTACAGCTTCCTCGTGAGGGGCTGCAGAGGGGCAAGCACTGAGCTATTCTCTCTGGTGACCCCTGGGAGTGGCTGGAGCTGGGTGAGGGAGGGTTAGGTTGGATTTTAGGAAAAGATGCTTCCCCCAGGGGGTGTGTGGGCACTGGGGCAGCCTCACTGAGGCAGTGGTCACACACAGTGGCGTGTGACAGGCTGCTGTGCCCTGCTGGGCAGAGCAGAGCTGATTCCTGGCACATCAGCTCCCCCCAACGCACAGACACCATGGCAGAGACTCAACACAGCCCCCAGCCTGGGAAATCCGAGTGTGGACACACAAATATCGACATGGATGGGCAAGGACTCACCCATGGAAACGTAACAAAGGGCTGCCTGGAGCCTCCCCAGGAGCAGAGCTGAACCTGAACCCACAAGGTGCTCAAACCCTCAGAACGTTCCTCATAACTGAGGGCAAACTCAGAAGGCCAAAAGAGCCACGAGAACCAAAATACGCCACAAGAAATCCAAGAATGGACCCAAACCTTCCCTGCAGCCACGAGTGAGAAGAGCAGCCGAGCCCCAGCTTTAATTGTGCCGTTATGTAATTCCCGGAGCTCAGAATTAACCTAATTCCCAGCAATGGCCCCATCCTGCCTGGCAGGGCCACAGCACAACTTTTGTGAAAATCCATGGAAGGGTCTAGAATCAGCCTGAGACTGCTTTTTTTGAAGGAAACAATTCCTTTTGAGTGCAGGAAGCCAACCAGCTTAAGAATTCCACAGGAAAACAACTGCATCTACGTTACAATTCACCCCAAAATAGCACATTTTGTGTTAAGGAAATAGGTTGAAACTGTAGGTATGGATCACCTTTTCCTACTGGATAAATCAGCTGCCTAAGTTAGATATTCAAATACTCTGCAGATGCACAGGGAAGCAAACAACTACATGAGTACCTTCTGCTGCTTCTGGTATGACCATGAGATCATAAAATAATTCCAGATGAGTAAAATGGGTTTATCCCCTGGGAAACCCAAGTGCCCATTTACAGGCAGAACAGGAGAGCCATTTCCAGGTTATCCCAGAACGACCTGGTGCCCCTCAGGTGATTCACCCCCTCCTGCCAGTGCTGCCACAAAACTGGCCAGAAATTACATTTATTCTGGAGGAGCCTCACTGAAATACACCTCACTCCACACACTGGAAAAGCCTCTTGGTGCTCACCAGCACCTGGCAAGCTCCAGGGAACACCTGCAGACCTGGCCAGTGACCCTCAGCCTGGCCAGCCCAGAACCTCCAGGACTCTGCGTGGGCCACTCCGTGCTCATCACTCTGCTGTGGGAAATGTTGATGCCCCCACACGTCCCAAGCCTGCAGCAGGGGCTCTGCAATCTCCTAGCAGTATTTTCCAGACAGCTGGAGGTTTTTTAACAAAACAAAGCTTCCATATGTTCCAGTGCTGAAGAAGGAGGAGAAAGATCCAGCCTGGAGCATGCACGGGAGCCAGAACTCAGAGGTGCCAGGAAGATGACAAGGAAATTCTCCCTGGCAAAACTCCAGGGGCCCAAAGTCACAAAGCAGCTGGGAGCAGGGAAAAACTGTTCCCATGGGTGAGATACCTTTAAAATTAATAAAGAAACAAGTGAGTTTTTAAGGGTGGCCCAGTCCTGCTCATCAGCTGCTCTGCACTGGTGCACCAAGGGATAAAATTAACACAATTACATCAACACTTTCTGCCAGGACCCCAACAATCCATGAGGCAGCAGCAGACAATAATTATCCTGTGACCACACTCCATTCCTGTGCCCTGGACACCCTGGGAGCCCTCTGGCATGTCTGCAGCTGCTTCAGGGCGTTAGTTACAGCCACTCTGAAAGGCAGATCTCCCCTTTTGCTCATTTTCTAACTTTCCAGTTGTATTAAGCTACCAAAACACAACTGTGCACTTGGACAAAGGTGAGTCCTTGAGCAAAATATCCATATCCTGCTGTAGTGTAATCCCTAAACTGGACATGGAACCCTTGTTGTTGAGTTTTCATAAGGATTCTGAAAAGGTTTTCCCTTACTTTTGCTGATTTTTATGGAAGTGAGCGCAGATACACCCCCAAAGGCTGCACCAAATCAGTGTGTACCATGAGGAGCTCACCCAGCTCTTACCTGGGATGTTTCACAAACACCTGACACCTTCTGAGCTCCAACTCCACTCCCCAATACAGCATTATTGCTCTGATTTCCACGAGAGCAACTGAGCAACCACAGCGAAACAGGAAGGGCTGGGGCAAGGAAGAGGTTAATGCACAGAACTGTAAAGAAATCAGGGTGTGAAGGTCTGGCTCCTCCAGAGCAACACCAAGGAATCAGCTCCTGCCCATATGGATCCCTTTTAGCCAGGGAAAGGTGCAACATTCCCAAGAGAACACAAAAAGGAAACACTGTGAAAGCACCTAATGAAAGAGGAAGGAAGACAGGAGCTGGAGGTCCCTACCTGCAGACACCTGTGCCTTCAGCCAGGGTTTTACCTCTGAATTTCCACCGTTTCAAACGCCACATTCCGCCTGCCCAGAGGGCAGGAGTGACGTGCCCACACAGCCCGTCCCAGCCCCGCAGGCTGGGCGATGCCCTCTGCCAGCCCCGAGTGCCTCTTCAGCAGCTCCTCCTTTCCTGCTCAGCAGGATCTCCCCAGGGAGCTGCTCCTCGGGCCTCAATTCCACAGAACCCCTCCAACGGGAGCCTGAAACCACCATTCCTCAGAGGCCACTTCTGGGTTTGTTTCCTCTTCTTCATTCCACTGAATCATCTCCCAGAGCAAACACCTCGGCTCCTCCAGGAACAGCTCCTTCCTTCCAGGGATACGAACTCGGCATGGAAAACCAGTGGAGTTTCCAGGACAGAGACCTCCCCACAGCTCCTGGGGTATGAACCCAGCATGGAAAACCACTGGAGTTTCCAGGACAGAGACCTCCCCACAGCTCCTGGGGTCATCCAGCACCTGCCACCATGGAAAACCAGTGGAGTTTCCAGGACAGAGACCTCCCCACAGCTCCTGGGGTATGAACCCAGCACCTGCCACCATGGAAAACCAGTGGAGTTTCCAGGGACCTCCCCACAGTTCCTGGGGGGAAAGCGTGTGGGAAAGGTGGGCATCCCACCTCGCCCTGCCTCAGGTGACACTTGCAGCTCCCCCGGGCACGGCACGGACAAACCGGGAGCTCCGGGATGATGGAGCATCCCCGGGGCAGCGCTCTGCATCCTTCCCGTTATCCACGGCAAGGCAGGACGGAGTGGAACCCACTCGGGGCAGGATTCAAAGGGAGCAGAACCGGGAGAACGCGGGGACGGAGCAGCAAAGGGTTCAGGAGTTTGGAGCTTCCCCTTCCCACGAGTTTAATCCTCCCCAGCGAGGGGGAGGACACCGGTGAGGGAGTGCGGCCCCGGGACACTGCATTTGTGGGCCACCCCGGTAACGGGTGCGTGTTCCAATCGCGGAGCTCGCCGGGACACACCGGCACCGCAAACCCAGCGGCTGCCGGCCCCGCGGCTGTCACCGCCCGCCCACAGCACTGTGCCCGCCCGGGCAAGCACCGACCGCAGCCCCGGAGCGCTGCCGGCCCTGCCGGGCACCGGCGGCCGGCCCGCACCGCGGGCCCTGCGGCACTGCGGCCTCGCCGGGCCGCGGCCCGCCCCCCGCGAGGGACAGGGGCCGCCCTCTCCCCGCCCGGGCCGCCGCTCTACCTGCGCGCCTCCTCGTCGCTGTCGGTCTCGCCGGGCCCGTCGGGCGCCGCCATGACCACATCGCACTCGGCCTCAGCCGCCGCCGCCGCCGCCATCTTACCGCGCGGGGCTGGGCCGGACCGGGGCGGGGCGGGGCGGGGCGAGGGCCGGAACGGGCGGGCCCTCCGCCGGCGGGGCGGGGCGGGGCCCGGCCGGCAGGGGGCGCCCGCGGAGGAGCCCGGCGGCGGCATCGGGAGGGGCCGGTACCGGGAGGAGGGCGGAACTCGACCGGGCGGTGGGCGGGGCTTATCCAGACCACGCCCCCTCCCGCAGAGGAGCATCGCCCGCTCTCGCGGTCCTCCCGCCCGCAGGGGGGCGCTGCGCTGCCGCCGTGCCCTTCTCGCCGCCGCCGGTGAGGCTCGGCCGCGCCCGCCGCGGTGAGGCGGCATGGGCAAGAGCTGCAAGGTGGTGGTGTGCGGGCAGGCCTCGGTGGGGAAAACCTCCATCCTGGAGCAGCTGCTCTACGGGAACCATGTGGTCGGTGAGTGCGGCGCAGGGCAGAGGCCGCTCCGCGGCTCCCCCGGGGGCAGCGGGCAGGTCGGGCCTTGGGCAGGGCTGGCTCTGGGGGATCCCCCCGGTCACCCCCACACACACCGGCCAGCGTTCCCACGCGTCCCCTGGCCACCCCCGGCAGGCTCGGAGATGATCGAGACCCAGGAGGACATTTACGTGGGCTCCATCGAGACCGACCGCGGCGTGAGGGAGCAGGTGCGCTTCTACGACACGCGGGGGCTGCGCGACGGGCTGGAGCTGCCCAAGCACTGCTTCTCCTGCACCGACGGCTACGTGCTGGTCTACAGCACCGACAGCAAGGAGTCCTTCAAGCGGGTCGAGCTGCTCAAGAAGGAGATCGACAAGTCCAAGGACAAGAAGGAGGTGAGTCCTCCTGGAGAAGGGGCTGTGGAGTGGGATCTGCTCCCCTGGGGTGGGTTCTCACCTTTGGTTTCTGCAGCCTGTCACAGGATACTGATGGGTTCCTGATCTGGGAGACTCCCAGCAGTAAAAGGCCGTCTCCTGGCATGCTCTCTGAGCATACAGGTGCTCAAAATCTCCTTGCTGCTTTGGGACACACAGACCCCAGCAGGAGGGGAAGGGAGCACTGAGATCACTGGGTCTCAAAAGGCCTTGACATGCACTGTCAGGGCCAGGCCCACCACTGAGGGGCTCATGGCAGAGCCAGCCAGCCCTGCAGCTCTGTAGCTGGTCGTCAGGGGCCCTTCTCACCCTTTTGGAACAGGTCACCATTGTGGTTTTGGGCAACAAGTGTGACCTGCAGGAGCAGCGCCGGGTGGACCATGATGCAGCCCAGCACTGGGCCAAGGGTGAGAAGGTGAAGCTGTGGGAGGTGTCCGTGGCTGACCGGCGCACGCTGATCGAGCCCTTCATCTACCTGGCCAGCAAGATGACACAGCCACAGAGCAAATCCGCCTTCCCCCTGAGCCGCAAGAACAAGGGCAGTGGATCCATGGATGGATGAGCCTGCTCCCCCTTCCCTTCCATTGCCACCGCCTCTTCCTCACCTTCCTGCTTCCCTCGCACACACCTCCTGCTGAGTCCTGTCTGGTGTCACGGAGCCTGTGGGAAGCAGGTGACCAGGAGGAACAATCATGCCAGGGATGGTCCTGGTGGACGAGAGAGGCAGTGGGACAGGACCACTCCTCTCCCTGCCCAGCCCCTGCAGCTGTCAGAGGTGCTACAGGAAGGTCAGGATTCACTCAGTGACCCCCTCTGCTCTTAGGTGCAGGCTGGGAGAGTGGAACAGAGGCACAGCACAGGCTGGCTGGAGCGTGGGCATCAGCTCCACATCTGGAGAGAACAACTCCCTCTTTTTGTATTTCCTGATAACATCTGGGCAGGGCCTGTTTGCTGGCCCTGCCTCCAAGCCAAGCAGCTCTCCTTGCCCTGCCCCAGCTTGCTCTGTGCTGCTCCCTGGCAGCTTGTCCCTTACCCTGGCAGTGTCCACTGCTGCTTTATGCACTGGAATATCCAGACCTGCTGCACCAGGGAATGCCCAGAGCAGGGTAGGTGCTGTTCCTGAGGGCAGAGTGCCCAAATCCACCCCTGCAGCCCTCCTCTTCCTGAGTGCAGACTCAGCCATGAGCTTGGAGGAGATGGGGTTGTGCTTCAGCTGCATACCTAGATCCTTGCAGGAGCTGGGACTGCACTTGCCCTGCACACCTCAGAGCTTTGGGCTATGGCAGCTCTCACTGCCCACCTGTCACAATGCTGCCTCTTCTCTGAACTACCTTAACACAAGGCACAGGTGTCCCAGCCTTACCCAGCAACACTTGTTCCCTTCAGGTAGTCTGGATGTAGGAAAAGAATTGATGAAAAGCCCCAGTGTGTTTATACTTGTTCCTTTTATTTACCGAGTAACACAATAAAGCGATGAGATTCGGTTATCAAAATATTTTCCTTTTTTTTTTTTTTTCCCAACAGTTATAGTACATCAAAAAAATATACAATGAACATTACAGGAGGGTACTGGCCAAGTCCCTAGAGTCTGGATATTCCATTTTGGGTTTGGTTTGTTTCTTTTTTCTGGTGTTTTGAATCAAATTTCACATCACTCCAAGGTTATTTACAGAGGGGCACACGTTACCGAGCGCTATGGACTATCCCTACTCCTAGTACAGCATGTGCTAAGTCAAAGGCAGTAAATGCTTTGGAGAGCAGGAGGGGATTTGGGGGATGCCATAACGGGGGTTTCTTACGCAGCTCGTTGCAGTATTATTGTCTAGAAGGAATGGCTTTCACAGGGTTAAAGTGCCAAGAACAGGAGTGCGTCAGGACTCCACTGGTGAGGGACAAGGAGCAGCCATGGCTCCAGCACAGGCTTTTTGGAACAATGGAGGGGAACAGGCCCGCTGGTGCCATGTGGCTCTGCAGGCTGGAGCCCAGCTGCTCCTGGCTCCCCAAGCTTCTGAGGGGCTGGGCATGGCACCAGGGGCTCATGGCACAGGAGGGGACCCACTGTCCTGCTGCGGTGGCTGGACTGGGGGTGACCCCAAGGGCCTGGGAAGGGCACAGTGAGACGGGCAGGGGTGGCTGGGGACGCACCAGCCATGGGCTGCTTGGCACTGGGGGACAGGGACAGTGTCCCTCCTGTCCCCTGGGACCCCACCAGCACAGGCTCCTGTCCCCTGGGATGTGGGGTCCCTGCGTGTCCCCTGGGCTGTGGGACCATCTCCCTATCCCTGGTAAAACCGTTTCTGCTGGGAGCCTTGCTTCCCTCAGCTGCACTCCATGCCACATGTCCCACCACTGCTGCAAGACCTTTCCACTGTCTCCACACACACCTGCTCACTCTTCTCCTGGTGCCCTCTCCCCACTCTCCTCCTTCCCTGGGGAAGGGATGCCCTGAGCAGGTGAACTCCCACCCAGGGGCTCCCTCACTCTCCTGTCTCCGTGACAGGAGTGCAGTGGTGGCTCCACAGTTGGTGCTGCCCACAGACCCTGCAGGTGTGTGCTCCTTCCTGCAGCTTTCCTGCCCTTGCCAAGGCTCCAGCCAGGGGAAGCAGATATGTTTCAGGCTCCAGCCATGGGAAGCAGATATGTTTCAGCCATCTGAGTCACCCATTGGCCGCTTCCTGTTCACCTTCCCATGCCAGGCCCCATGCTGAGCATCGGTGGGAGCACGCTGGGCAAAATCCTTCTGAAATCCAGGCGCTGCTTATGGCCAAGACGTCAGATATGTGTGCTTGTGCGTGTGGATTCCCAGGTGCACACACCAACCTGCCTCTTCCCAAGGGCTGGGAGGGAATGGGAGTCACAGCAGAGGTCTGAACCAGCACCCTGGGCCAGGGACAGGGCAGAGCTCAGTGTCACGTTGGTTCTTCTGCTGCCACCACGGCTCCGGCTGCAGGGATGCATCAGCACCAAAGGGAATCGCAGGCGGCCAATGCGGCGGGTGGGTGAGCTGCCCCCTGGATTGCATAGATCAGGGTGGGGTGTTCCTCCAGAGAAAGGTCCATTTGGGATGCAACTCTCTCTATGTACAGCAGCGTGCTGGGCACCCAGAGCGCTGCGGTGACAGTCCCAGGCAGGTCATGGTTGGGCTGTCTGAGCACAGTGAAATGCAGAGCTATGGCCTTGGGGTCCCTCCAGAGCCTGGCACTCTGCAGGCTACGGGTGCACCTGCCAGCTGATTGTCCAGGCTGCTGAGGACACCTTTGATTTCGGGAATCATCAGTAACCTCCTGGAAGCTCCTGACTGGGATGGGATTGGAGGGCTGTGCACGGCAGGCGAGCAGCAGCGTTGCCTTTCACTGGAGAACTGAAAGTGCTTTAGGGACATTCACTCAGCCTCACAGCATCTCCCGGGAGGTAGGGGCAGGGCTGTCCCTACAGTGGGACAGAGACAGGACAGGTGCCAAGCACAGGGTCACCTCCTTGGGGAGCCAGCACCAGACAAGCCTGGCACTCCCAGCCTCACTGGGCATGAGTGGGGCCCAGCTTAGCCATGTGCCCATCGTGTGTGCTTCTGGGGCCAGGGCAGGGCCCGTGTGCTTTGGAGGGAGGAGGCACCAGCCCTGGGGTCAGCTATTGCTCTCAGAGTGAGGATACGGTCAGTGTGGCTGGTGCCTGCCACCACGGGGGCTCTTTGGCTGGTGGGATATAGGGAATTGTGGGGACAGGGGGCTGGTGGGTGGCACAGAAACCCCCTGCCAGCACAGGTAGGTGCAGGGCTGGCAAGGGCACAGCCAGCCCAGGCTGAGAGAGAAACTGCCAGCTTCCCACTTGTGCTGGGGTTGTTTCTCCCAGTAAGAGGTGGGCTGAGATTCCCCTCGCAGTTCCCTTCCCACTGCACTGGCAGGGACCACAGGGATGCTCCTTCTCCCAGGGACCAGCCAGCTCCTCTCCTTCCAGTCTGGTAACTGGGAGGGCGATGAAGAAACAGCCAGCAGGCCGAAGACAGGCAGGCTGTGGCCATGAGATGGTCCTGCTGATTTGGACACTGTCCTCTTGCGTGCACTGCCTGGGCTCATCTGCTGAGCAGGGGGCCAGCACAGGCTGGGGGAGCGCTGGGGATGCGCGGCGGGGCTGGCCAGGCTCTGTCAGGGCACCTCTCTCCAGTGGGAGCCCTCTCCAAGCAAAGGAGAAGC